CCTTTGATCCTATGGCCTTGATACATCAAGCTTCCGTCCCCTGATAGGGTTTAGGAGGTAGGGACCGTCAAGGCGTTTGAGCCCAAAGCCTTTTGAACCCTCAACCGCAAATTGGCACATCCAAGGCGCTTTTCCAGAGGCTTGGTTCAGGTGTGTGTCGCCTAACCTACCGATGAGCTGCGGATGCTGCGGACGTTGCGGCCGCGGTGGCCTACCCTGCGGCTTGCAAAGGTGCTGGAATGAGGATGCGAATGATGCAGATTCCAGCTTCGCCTGTCGCCGTGGGATTGATGCATGGTTCGAGGAACACGCGAGAGGATGAGCTGGTAAGCAGGGCGGCTCAGACAACTCAGGTTCCCCGAAGAGTCCTTGAACCCTCTCTCATGAACCGCACCTTTTGTCATCCTGTTGTCCATGTGCATTGAGCTGTGCTGTCGCGTCTTTTCCGGAGGCTGAAAGCTAACCTGTGGTTTGCATGGTTTGCTCTCAGACTTCGCCTTCTTTGCAAATGCCTGGGAAGCCGTAACATGCAGGCCCCACGAGCTCCCACGTATTGATGGAAGGGCCATGCCTGCCATCAAGAAAATCGAGGTGGCTTTTTTGGTGGGGAGTTGGTTCGGGTAAGAGATCGATAGACTTGCAGTGTAACCGTCGAAACATGTTCAGCTCGTCGGAACCCCAAGTCGCAAGTAGGATTCGCGGTTGCTCAATGCTCCGTACATTCGCATGGTTGCTAGTCTTGTGCTATCCGGTGCTGCTCGGTGTGGGGGCTCGAGATCTTCCAGAATTGCTTGACTTCTCTGAGCTCCGGCTTCTTGGGCGTGCCCGGGGCCAGCGTCAGTACACATCAGCGCACCCTTACAGATTCAATCATCGCCCAGTCCTTCGGAAGAGAACTGAGGATGGCAGAAAAACTCTAAGGATGCGTTACGTGCCTGATCGGATGCCAAGACATGACCTCATGGCCAGGCCGAGGCATGCAGTGCACAAGCGAGAACCTCAACCTAATCGTGTACTCGCTCGAGCTTTTCAAGCTTTGCTCTCGTTTGTGCTTTGGTTCCTTTTGGTTCGTCGCACATGGCTTGGTGCATCCCGGGAAACCTGCAGAGACTTGCGGAGACATGCTTAGGCCCCGCACCCATGGCAAAATCAAAGTCAACCGTCGTCGTTCTGCGTGCAGCGGACATAGGCGTGACAGATCTGGTTTCGGTAAATGTGGTTGATGTGCGGGTCTCCGTGACTTCGTTGTTATGTTCTTAGGTGAGAGAGAAGCTGCACGCTTGCAAGGCAGCTCCGTGACTGCTTTCAGCACAGAATGATGCTTGCGTGCATGTGCTATCCGCTGTTGGTCGAGGGAGGAGATCCCTTTCAATTCGTCGACTTTTCTGCGCCGCCCCTGTCTTAACCCCGGATCTTTGGTGGCGCAAAAGGTCAAGACTTGCGTGAACTTGCAATACGTCAACTTGCAAGAAACTATTCCACGGTGCTTCCTTCGTGGCTGGCGCGTTGCCGGTGCCGGCGTGTCAGATCATCTGATCATGCGCGCGAGAAGAGAGGCTCACAAGCGCAGGCTGGCCCTACAGTTTGAGGCGAAGCTCGTACACTGGATCAACGGTCCTAAATCCCAGGCCATGTTAGGCTTTCCGTTGCTCTGACCGTCATTGCTCCTCTCGTCCATGCCTTCCCAACCTTGGGAGATTGAAACAAGTTGTGTTTGAGGGTTGCGACCCGAAGCCGAAGCTCAAACCTTAAGCCCCTCGGCCTCCTTCAGGTCTTGATGTCTAGACACTCGTGCATCTTTGTGGACCCCTTAGCTCGGCTTGAAGTGGCCTTGAGGCCACAAGACGTCCTCGGCTTCTTTGCAGCGTTTGTGCCTTCAGGTTTCGGACGTCTCGTCTTGCAGCGGATGTGAGATCTGAAGTCTGACGCTCCGAAGCAGGCTCTAAGGTTTCCAAAGGTTTCGCAAGGTTGCCAAGGGTTTATGCTGCGTGGCAGGCACCCTGTACATGGTGTGGCTACTTCAAGCGCTGTCTGTGTGGCATACAGTCCCTACCTTTTGCGAACACCCTTCCGTCAAGTGCCAGCTCAGCGTAGCGGAGGCATAGCACAGGCTTAGCAGAGGCCTAGCGCATATTTGTGACCGTTGCCCCTTTCGGGATGTTTTTAGGTTTCCGATGCTTTGGCCGCTGGTGATCACTCTTGATGGAGGTTTACCACCACGTACCATCTGACTCCTTGACCTCGCGAACTAGTGCACCATGTTGCCTCGGTGTGCTCGGCGGAGTCAGAGTGCAGCAGAGTCTTGGGCTGGCTCTCCCTGCCCTGCCTACCCTGCCCACCCTGCCCACCCTGCCTGTGCCCAAAACTTGAACGCCGGACCTTTCGAACCCGTTCCGACACGTCCGGAGACCGTGGCGTGCCTAGATGACCAAGAGATGCCGAGAGCATCCAAGTGTCAGAAAGGCGACCTTAGCGGAGACGTCAGGGAGACCTTGAAGGCCCTGCTCGTCCTTTCTTTTTGTTTCTCACTACTTTGACCAGAAGCTTGAGAAACCAGAAGCCTCAAGCTCCAGGGTCTAACAAAGTCTTAGGTGTGCTTTGCCAATCCTCCGTCCGTGCTTTCCCGTCTGTCCCTGTTTTTGTCGTGCCTTCGTCATGATGCACTCGCCCAAATCGAGAACTGTGAAGGCCGGCTCGGAGCTCCACCCTTAGTGCGAAAGCTTAGAGGCATCTGAGCCGTTTCAGCCCTTGAGGCCCAAGCTCCACAAGCTCCAAGTGCTCCAAATCCTGGCTGTCGCAGCCTTGCACCTGTAGATCCGACCGACCCCTGGCTAGGGCAGTATGGAGGCATGCCCAGAGTGCTTAGGGACCGTCACGGACTCTGAGCCCGAAACGGTCCGAAGCTCTGAGTCCCAAATGCCAAATGCCCTAAGCCCAGTCTGAGCTTAAAATCCTCTAAGCATCGAAGGGGGATCCATCTTTCAGAAGTTCAATCCCTGTGCTCTTTCGAGCTCTGGGTCTCAGAGGGCCAGGTGGACGGCTGTGTTGTGGAGGGACCCTATTTCCCTCCCGATGAAGCCTGCGACAACCCGACCCATTTAAACATATGGCCCCTTGCGAGAAATGCCCTTTCCAAATCCTCCGCATCCGGTTCCTTCATACCTTTAACCCCCATGGAAAGGTCCCCGGGTGATGGTCGCCCTAAAGGGCGATGCTGGGGTATCCTAAAATCCGATTCTAAAGCCTTAAATAAAGCCTTCAGATGAGTCCTGAAGTGCCTGACGTGCTGCTAAATCCCAAAGCCCAAGTCCTCATCTGCATTTGAGCAGCACATTTCGAAGGGTAGACGCAGGGCCTAGCGTGTTTCAACCCGAAGCCGATTGAATTGAAGAATTTGTTGTTGGCTGTACATGGCGTTAAGACTTCGGGTTTCTGGGGCCACAAGCTGCTGCCCTCAACCATGCGTGCGCCGTTCGCATGGTCCACAAGCTTCAGGTGGTTCCGCCACCTGGGCGGTTTAGGTTCTAGAATGTACGGCAGCCGGGCCCAGGCTTGTTTCATGTTTCGCATCTTTGCTCAGTGACTTCCAATCGAGCCTTGTTGAAGATTCGATGAAGATTCGCGAGGGAGGTGTGAAAAGGATATCCGGGTTTTTCCCAAGGCGTAGAACGTGGATGCCTTAAGCTCCAAGCGTAGGTCTCAATCCCGAATCCAGAGCCCACACAGCTACTGAAAATCGGCAAGGTTGGCAAGGCCCGTGCTTGAGCTCTGCGGCCGTATGTTCAAGCTCGAGTTCTTACCAGTCTCAGTGTTCAACCAGATAACTCGCCTTGCAGCCGAGAATGCTCTGCAGCTGTTCGCTCAGAAAGCCTTGATGTTGCTGCACAGGCAAATACGCCCCTGAGACACCGCACCTGCAGCTGCGATCGCACCAGCACGTGCAATGTCTAATGCACTAATGCCTGCCCCAGCACTCACTTTGGTTCCTACACCCCAAGGTTTCTGAAGACCTTAAGGCCGAGCCCTGCAGCCGTCCATGCCCCACGTACAGGCCTTGTCCTGCCCGGAGGTTAAGGGGAAGTCGGGATGCCGCAGGTCCATGCTGTCTCCATGATTTCGGTTTGGGGCTGCAGAAGGGTGCAAGAGCTTGGGCCGTTAGCGTCGCTGACAGAGTATTGCATGCGTGAGGCGCATCTGTTTCTCGAAGCGCGTGAGCACGCGCAAGAAGCACAAAGCTTGTCGCAGAAGGCGGCTGCGAGGCTTCTTTATCTCTGGTACCCAGAGCTGTTTCAGGAACCGACTCGCCTAATTTCGACGGTTCCGAGTGGAAGGGGCCAGACGCAATTCTCTACCGGTTGCCAACTTTTCAGAAGTCTTAAGCTGGCACATCCGAAACAATTCGGAGCAGCCAGCACCATGTAAGTCGAAGACGCAGGGCGTCACGTCTAGTTCCTTGGCTGTGAAACTGCAAGTGACCGTGTGTTCTGCCCACACGAACCACTCCAAGAGTTAAGGCGCGCGCCTTCAAGTCGTGAAGTGATCGGGCTGCAAACCCAAAGCCCAAAAACTTTTGGATTCGGGTCCAGGTTCACCCAAGTTCGCCCAAGTTCGCCTCTGGGCCTTGGCGCCAAAAGTCCACAACTGAGCAAATGCAGCGGAACACGACATGTTGCCCACAACGTCAACAGATCCCGCGGGAGGCCACATCGCATGCGTCACGGGGTTTTGGGGCTTTAAGGCTTGAAAAAACGTTTCCTTATGGGCCCGACGGGCACAGGCTAAATCGACTCCGCTCCGGAGCTCGTTTGCTGTGCTCCTCTACTCCCTCCTCTCTTCGGGTTCTAGGGTCGACATTATTTGTCTGCAAAGTTAGCCAAAAAAAGAAGCCTAATTTTAGGGTTCCGGGCTTTAAGTAGGGTGTAGGCTTCATGGTTTAGGGTCGGTGCAGCGGCGCATCGGTGTAAAACGGTCCTTATGCGCGAGCCACGCCTGTGCGGGCTTCACGTTTGAGACTTCGTGTGGATTCGTGGGCTGAAATTGAAAAAGAGTTCAGGAACCGTTTCGTCAGTGCCTCCGTCAGCCTGAGGCTTTCGATGGCCTTCCGAACCCCGAAGTTTTAGAGCAACATCTGGAGCTGGACACACCCCTTTGGGATGCTTTGGCCATATGAGGAGAGCACATTCTTGCAATCGGAGCTGTCCGAGCTCTCCTGCTTTTCTGTTGGCTGGACGGACTTGGGGTTGAATGTAGGGCTTTTTGGATTCCCCTGAGCGGAGATGAAGCCTAAGGTTTCCTGCGTTGCGCTCGGAAAGTTCGGCTCGCAGGGAGTTTGGGGAGTGTGGGGCCTGTGCTTGCTTCTGCTCCCGCTGTCCCTTGGGCACCTTTTTCTCTGTTCCTTCGAAGCTTGAGAGGTCTCTGCAGTTTGCTGTCTCACTTTCTTCAAACCTTTCGTCGAATCTCTTGATGGCCTTGTGGCCAGAGGCGGAGGACCGGGCCTTCCAGTCCTCGAGAGCTGACTTTGGGAGCCTTTGAAGGCAGACGTTCTCCGGATGTCTCCGGGTCACATAATGGCAAAAGCCAAGAACCTCACAAGGCGCGCAAACAGGGCCATCCGGCTCCCTGGCCTGTGCACTTGAAGGTCCTTGAGACGGCTCTATGCCCAGCATTTGCACGAAGAGCTGGCCTTGAGTAACTCAGAGTACATCCACCTGAACGCTCTGAAAAAACCGTGAGATCCTAATTCTTGGAACCTCCGGCACAAACGTCACCGAAAGATTCCAAACAGGTTACCAAGATTACAAAGGTCAAAGAACCCAGAAAATTTCCTAAACCTTCCCAGGCCCGATTCTGCATTCGCTTCGCGCGCGTCTGCGCGGCTCCGGCCTCTGAGCCTCTGAGCCTGGCGTTGAACGACGCACCCTGCTGAGAAGCCGCCCGAACCTTTGAAACCCTGCGGCAACTTTTCTAAGGCGAGCCTGAAACCGTTGGGAGTCCTCCTGTCATGTGATGGGGTGATGTTGTAAGGAGGCAGTCCCGTCGATGCGCAACTGCCGCAAGACTGCAAAGCTGTACCTTAAACTCTACGGCGAGACCTTCAGCGCCAGATATGGCGCCGAGACGTCCAGACAACCGAAAGCCTCTCCCCGGATCGCCGGCTCCATGTCCCACAGATCCCACAGCGATGCCTGACATATTCGCCTGCATTCATGCATATTCATGCTTTGGCATGGATGTCTCGTCGCTTGAAAAGTTGGTTCTGTTCGTGCTTGGTGGTTGGGAGTTCAATGGTGACTGGAGGTAGTGTCAGTGTTGCTGCGAGAGTTTCAGCGATGAGCATGTTGTGAGTTGTTGGATAGTCCATGTAAGAGAACAGTGAGAGCGAGGGTGTAAATGAGGGTGCGAGCGAGACAAGATCCGAGCAATCCTGTGGTTATTCTGGTAGTCCAGCCAGCTTCGGCAAGGTGGGGGCTTACAGGCAGGTTCTTTGTTTTAGTATCTTAAGCCTCAAGGAGCCGCAAGGGGATTCCATCTTGCAATCGACGTCTGCATATTTTAGACACCTTGGGACCTGCGGGTATCCAGCCAAAGGTCTGAAGCCAGGAGAAACCTTTTGAAGCACCCCCCCCCCCAACTGCACATTAAAAGGGGGTTTGCGATGAGTTTATGAGGGTCGGATTTAGGCTCTGTCGTTGGCAACTTGTCCGACTTCGTTCTGTGTTCGGTCTGCTTTGGGGGTCGTCAGGACCCTACACGACCTAAGCCCACCCCGGCAGTGGTAAGGGGGGGTCGGGGCACTATGGCTGGAGGGGGGGCAAAAAAGCTCGGCCGATACACGCCCCGTGGGCCCCAGACCTGGATCTAAACGCCTCAGGCCTTTGGTATATTGACTTCCGCTGCTGATGTTGGCCTCCATGTAGGTAATAACTTTGGCATGAAATGGCCTGAGTTCACATGTGGTGTATCTTTTTCTGACTATTACCCTGATAGTATGTGCTGAAAGCCTATGCGTATAGATACTGTGCTGATCCGCTTTAGTACCCCCCAAAGCAAGCCCAATACTGGTATCCCCCCAAGAAGATCAGCTGAGTGTCCTGAACAGCCCCTCATTTCGCGTTGCGACGTTGAGCGGCCATGTCGCAACCCCTCCCGGCAAAGGACCAGGCGTGGCCACATCAATCCGTGCTTTGCCGTGAGCGACAGTTCCACGAACGTTTCGTTTGCTTTTGTATTTGAGTTTTTCCGAGCGCAGGCAGTATTTCGATCCATCGTCAAGTTCTACGAAACCAAGCAGTACAAGAAAGGTTTTCTTGGCCATGTTTGCCAATGTGCCACCGCAATGTGAGAGCACTTGGGCTATGTTCAGGCCTGAAAGCGGCTGATTCCATTTTGAAAAAGCATCCGGACCATGGGGAGACTTTGTGCATGAAGGCCTGGGTTGCGTGGTGTGCGCAGATGTTATGTGGGGGATTCCGGGATTCACTACAGTGTGGGGCCCTTTTTTGGGTACGCTCAATATAGGGCTCCGCAATACAACGGGAACCTCGAAAGGGGGCAGTATTTAGAGAGCCCCCTCATGTGTTTGTGAGTAGTTTCGAAGCTGCGAAGCTGCGACAGGGTCTCACCGTGAGCTATTTAGACCGGAAAGAGGAAGCTTATGAGCTTGTGCGCAAGGCAGGGCAGTCACGTGACATTGGCACGACAGGTCGCCATTTGTGTCAGTTCTGTGCCTGCCGGGCAGGGCTTGAAATGCGATCTCAAAAGTCACGTTTGCTGGCATGTGGCTGCCTGAGGCATTCGTGCAGGCATGATCTCATGTTGCTCTCACAACTTGCGGGCAAGCACCTTTCTGGCCAAGGTGTATGGACTACTTTACCGGCAAGACCGAGACTACTTTGAGGCTTCGAGGGAATTGGACATTACATTGGTGTCGTCATTCGGGGTTTGTTGCGAGAGAGACCTTGGCAGGCTGTGAAGTGCTACCGGCAGGCCCTGGAAGGGAGCAACGATGTGTCCCCTGTAAACGGTTATCGTTACAACGAGGTTGTTGTAGCTAGTGCCGCCCGCAGAAACATGGCATCGGAGGCTCTGCGGATCGATCAGGAGAACCTCCAAATTTTGAGAGATTTATCCTTGCTGCAGATCCATCGCCGGACACCTAGCAGATGACTGGCATGGCTCGATGTGACTAGTCGTGTCCTAAGGACGGGATGTGCACGGATTTGCCGAGACTCGCCGCAAACTGCTGCAGGCGATGTGTCCAGCTTTGTTGAATGAATTCAATAAGCTCTCTGCCTGGCTCTGCAACTGGCTCTGCTTCTGTGCAAGGTCAAGTCGTCTGCTAGATTGAACTGGGCGAGGGTCTTGGCAGCCCACTCACCCAGCGACCCAGCCATGATCTGGACTGTGACCGTTGACACAGGTCGGATATGCCATTGCAGAACACTTGTGTGAGAACTATGAGCTAGCCTGGAAATGCATCGACAACTATGAGAACTCGTTCAAGGAGATTTTGTGGCGACTGTTGCTGTCGCGCTGTCTGTTGTTCCTTTTATGTCGAAGTTAATGTCGAGGAGCAGGATACTACCGCAGCCTCCGATTACGAGAACTCAGAGCTGCATCTATACAAGGTTGGTGTGTTTGTAGCTTTTGAGAGAGTGCACCGTCAGATCTTGCTTTGTGGTCTTCGTCAAGGGGTGACGGCTGGCTGTTAAAAAATTGTAGCAACTGTGAAAGGCAGTTGAGCTGAACCCGGATGAGGATGATGACAATGACGCAGATGCTGATGATGACAAGCAGAGATGTGTCGGAGCAGAAGTGAGGAAGGAAGAAATGTCACCCGCAGATGAAGCGGACGTTCGCCTGGATGTTTTGTCTTAACAGACGCAAGGAGTCTTTGTGGAGCACATGAGTTCAACACCGGGTAAATTTGAGATGTCAGCCCATTGGAGGCATCCATCATGGAGGAAGCTGGCAAGTTCAAGGATCGCAGTCAACGGTGATGACGAAGCTTGCCACCCAGATTCAACGTTTTGGGCAGTCTTTGAGAGGAGTCGCTGAGCTGCTTGAAAGAGAACGAGAGCAAGATTGTTGACAAGCCTCTTCCTCAGCCTTCTTCCGGTGGTGCACTGTGCTGGATTGACGTTGTAGTCTTCCTTTAAAGCATGTACAGCCCTTCTGGGAAACCCCTAATCCTTGCGTGCACGAGCGCGCGCCAGAGGACCCCAAAAGTGCCCAAGTCACTTTCCAGGATCGGTTTGCTGGAGATGCAGGGGAGGCTCTGCATGTTCCTGTCTCTGCATGAAGAAGCAGCTGACTACTTCAAGAGGCCAGGAATCCGCTGAACAGCCAGTTCAGACATCTTCAGTCGTCTTCACTTCAAAGCTCTGCCAAGACCCGCGGAGGCTTGTCAACATCAACACCGAGCATCATGTCTATGCTTTGGCATACATGGTACCAGACTTAGCTTGTAGTCCTTACTCTGCGGAGAAGTGCTTCGACGCCTAGAAGTCATGCCACAAAAATTCCCCTCTGTGTGTCAAGGCCTCTCAGCCGAAGTTTAGCTCCTTTTGGTGCGGCCCCCAAAGATGTCTGGCAGAGTGGCTTGAGATGCCACAGTTCGGAGAGATTGCCTTGTCTCTCTACAGTCTCTGCTACTCAGTCTGTTACACAAAAGGCCTCCGCTGCCTGCGCCCATCGCGCCTGGCGAGCAGAGCGACCTTTGCAACGGGAATGCTGCCGCAGACCAAGCTAGAAGAGGCTCCGCAAGGTTGTCGATTTGGTCGGGGGTCCTGCAAAGTTTGGCGGGCAGCTGAGGCAACCGAGGCACTGCCGAAAAACATCTTGTCCTTCCCATCAACGCTGCATCCAGAAGGTCTGGACTCTCCAGCTCCAATGCGTTTACCACCTGGTCTCTAGGAAAGTTGTTTGAGGTAGGTTGGAACCGGGGCCCTGGCTGTGCCTGGATGATGTAGCCAAAGCAGCCCCAAGAGTGCACAAGCAGACACAAGCAGGTATGCCCGTATTTGGCTGGCTGCCGCCGAAGCATGCGCTCAAGCCACAGCGCAGATTGATCATCGGTCGGAAGCAGTGCTCCCTGCATGCTCTTGTTGAAGTGCTAGTCGCAAGGCTGTATTTCCTGCTATGTCTTGCTTGACCCTTTGTTGTGCGATGTTGTTCTGTGCGAATAGGCACAAGCGGCGGGTGGACACCCTCGAGCCGGCCGTGGTTGCCCAAGAGAGAAACGAACTGCTGCTGTGTAATTGTAAAGGGCAAAGCACCGGATGCGAAAGGGCTTCCCGCCGCTAGAGATGCTCTATGATGCTCTCAGAAATGTCATAGGAACCTTCTCGCCCTTCGAGTTCTGCGGATTGTGCCCTTGTCCTTTACTTCGACGTTGGAAGAGCCCGAGTCTGAGGTGCCTTTGACCGAGGAGCAAGAGGAGGAGGAGCGGCCTTAATCAAAAGCCAAAGCTAAGTCTCGTCGTCTCCATCGTCCCCGTGGTTTCCGTTTGCCGCTGTCGAAGCGGAAAAGGTAATCCAGTTCTTCGAGGGCTTGAAAGCCGACTATCCCAAGTCGGACTCCTTGAAAAGGCCAGGTTGGAAATGGCTCCCTTGTGTCGTTCAGGTTGTTTGTGGAAGGCTTGTCAGGCTTGTGTTCTTGTCGCCGAGCATCGGCAGGCTTCCGCTCTTCTTTCTGACGGGCCAGCGGTTCAAGCGGAAGTTAGACGAGTACCTGCGAAGCAGGCTTCGAAAAGGCAGACGCATCGAACACGGCTGTGCTTCAGTTTGATTCCTGGGATGCATTGAGCCTATAGGTGTTCCGTCGCTGTTCCGAACCATGCGCTCCTACTACTTTTCGTGCTTTCCTCAGTCGAGCCTCTGAGATTGCAGACGGGTTAACCTTGTTGATGCAAGCATCCGCTCACATCTTTGACACTTACACTCACGGCAATACCCGCAGGTCTGGAAAGCCACTGCTGCAAGCCTGTCATGTTTTCATGGCTTTAGCTACTGTTAGCTCCGCTCAGCAACATGAAACAACATGCAGGATCGAAGAGTTGCTGCTGCAGTACGTGCGCTGTTTGAAAGAGAAGGTGTCATGGCCCGGATCCTTGAGACAAGGGGGGCCAGCATCTGCAGTGCGTGAAGTCATGGAGTATGCTTGGAGTCCCTGCACTTGAGCCGCGGTTTTCAAAAGGCGCTTGATGTCCAAGTTCGTATTGAGTTGAGAAATGATGCTTGAATCAGCGCTTCAAAATAGGCTCTGCGCTGTGGGCATGCAAGCGTGCGGAAGGTTTCGTGGAAGCAGCTTCGCGCGGAAGCTCCGCGGAAGCGCTCCCGGTGAAATCCTAAACGGCTCCGACCCTCAAAACCAACTCCAGAAAAAACCTGGCCCTTAGTACCCTAAACCCCGAACCCGTCAAAACCTCTGCAAGCTGGCCTCATTTGGCCTCCGAGGATCTTATAGGGCTGGATGTGCTACGTTCAACATCCATCCGTCTTTGCAAGTGGCTTTTCGTCCTTGTGGCTGTACTCCGATTTCGCTGTTTGCATTGCATTGCTTCAACGAGTATTTCGAAACCACACCTCATTTCGAAACTGTTCCGTAACCGTAGCCTCAAGATGTGCGATCATCGCGCCCCGCAGAAGCTACCGTTCGAGCTGCGGGAGGTCTGCTGAAGATCCCGTGGAAGGGATAGGCATTATGTATCATGTTATCCGTCATCGAATACAAATTGACAAACCACCCCTCCTTTGATGGGCCACGGCCAACGGGTTCGGTGAGGCCAAGCGGTGACAGCCAGGCAATGCAAGCGGACGTTCTGGGCCTAGGTTCGGACCCCTCACCGGAGAGCAGGCAGAGCCGCCGCAGGCGAACGGCGAACGGACTTTTTGGTGGTGTTGCGTGTGGTTTGGGCCTTGTATGACTTGCCAGATGAGCGACGAAGAGCCACCCTCAGCGCTGCTCTTCACCCTCATGGCCTGAGCCTCATGACAAGCCAGACCCTGAAACCCCAGAAGCTAAAACCCTGAACTCGAAAGCCTCTAAACCCTAAAGCCCTGAGCCGTAAACACCCGAAACCCCCTCCAAAACGACCCTAAACCCCAAAACCCTAAGGCGTAAAAAACGAAAAGCCCCAGAACCCTAAACCCGTGCTTTGGTTGTGGGTTGGGTTTTTAGGGCGTTGGGCTTAGGGTTTTGGGCGGGAGGGTCCACGCCCAACAGGGGTGGTTGTGGGCTGGTTACCGGTGTTTTACAGATTTAGGGTTTTAGGGCCGAGCGTTTGAGGGTTTCGGGTGTTCGCGTTTTATAGGTTTAGGGCTTAGTTTAGGGTTTTAGGGTTTTACGGCTTTGGGGTTTGAAGGTTTTGGGGTTTTGGGGTTTTAGGGGTTTAGGGTTTTGGGGTTTCGGGGCTTTAGGCTGTTGGGGGTTTAGGGTTTTCGGGCTGTAGGGTTTTCGGGTTTTAGGGTCATGGCTGTGGAGCGGTCGTAGGGGTGGGCTTGGGGCTTCTGGTGGTTTTAAGTCTTTAGGGCGATGGCCTGGCTTGACCCACTTGTGGCACTGAGACGGTCGCTGAGCACTTCGATTTCATGGGCGACACCCACAAGGAGACGACCAGAGTAGACATCGTTTTGCGTAACCCTTTTTTTTGGGGCACACTTGCCTTTGCTTGTCGACCCCTTGGGGCATGCTTGTTGAGGCATTGGAGTACGTGAATGAAGCGATTGAGCACACGCCTACTCTGGTGGAGGCAGAGCAGCCTTCAGGGGGTGCATCTTAGTGCATCTCCTCTTCTCTTCGTAAATTGATGTGGGGCCGGGCCACCTTCCCAGGTCTACGCATGCAAGGCCCGCATCTACAAGCATGCCCGAGCCTTGGAGCAACTGCGAGTTGCCTTGGCTGCCCATCAATCTGTGCCTAAGGCGGGTGACTTGGAAAGCTCGGCACAATGCTACGAGGAGGTTTCGGTCCAGAGGCATGGGGCCCCTCTGAGTTGAGGTTATTCTAGACAGAGCCAGGTGAGACAGATGGACTTGGCCGATCGATACTTGAACACACAGTGCGTCAGGCAAGTTGGCTTTTCATGGGCGTACACTGCGTAAATGCGGTATAAGCTCAGTAGCAATCCACTGAGAGATCCTTGCAGACAGCTCACTTGCAGGGCACTTCTTAGGGTCGACGACACGCAGGGCGGGATGGAGAAGGCGCTCATTGCGCTAGTACCGGACTCTTTAGAATTCTGGAATTGCAGATCGTGGCGGACATGCGTTGTGGCGAGGCCTTGCTGTTCTCCAAGGAGCCAGACTCGCAAGAGGTGAAGATTTGGATTGCTTTCACATGAGTCGTTGCCTTTTGTTCCTTCATTCTTTCGGATGGCCGGCGCCTGTCTCAACCGACTGCCAACCGTGGAAGGCAGCAAACCTGCATGACATGCAGTGCATGTGGTATGAGTCTGCCGTCAGAACCCCAGTCGGACTCTGTATGTTTACTGCGTACTGGTGAGCTGTGGGTTTGAGCTGCAGCTTTGATGTTTGGTCGGTGAGGTTGGTCGGAGCTACAAGCGGCAAAAGAAATATGGAAAAGCGTTGAAGCAGTTCAGAGCTCGGTGATTTATGTGCGAGGGTTGTTCTTGCTATGTCATTGCCGAGCGTCTCTTCGAAACTTGCAACAGCTTTCAGCTCTCGTCAGCTGGTACTTGTAGACTCGTAGAGCCACCAAGGCCTTTTCAAGCAATTTTCAGTCGCCGTCCGTAACTACACCATCGAAACAGCAACTGTGAGCCAAGATGTGTTTCATCCTGCCTTCTGCGAGATATCGTTAGCATGTCTACACAGCACAGCGTCCCAACACGTGCATCCATGCCGGCCACAACACGGCGAAGGCACTTCGGTGGCTGTGGATGCTGAGGATGCCTGGAAGCTGCCACGGATGGCAGTTTCGATAATGCTTCCTGGTGCGGTACCGAAGTCATCCGGCTTCTTCCGCAGCCTCTTGCGAAGTCTGTATTTGGCTCTTGGTATAATTGTCACTATTGGCATATATAGCTTTCTACAAGAAAGAATGGTTTCACAGCCCTACGATGGAGAGATCTTCAAGGCTACCATGTTCCTGGTACTGTGCAATCGCATCTTTTCAGTGTTGTATTCACTTCTCATGCTCTGGCGGGCAGGAGAAAGCTGGGGTACACAGGCTCCGCCGTGGAAGTATGCAGCAGTGTCTTTCTCCAATATGCTCAGTACGTGGTGCCAATACGAGTCCTTGCGACACGTATCCCTAGTTCTCCAGACAATGGCTAAGACTTTCAAGATGCTTCCAACTATGCTGATGGGAGTCATTGTGTCGAAGAAGAGGCATTCGATGAAGGACATCTTGACAGTAGTCCTGATCACTACTGGAATCATGATCTTCGCGGTCGGAGGGGACATAAAGTCGGAACATGCTTCAGCATCCAGTTGGTATGGGATCCTCCTCCTGACGGGCTTCCTGGTGTTCGACGGGTTCACAAGCACGTTCCAAGAGAAGCTTTTCACAGAGTGTAGGATGTCCAAGTACAACCAGATGCTGTACATGAACCTGACTTCAGCAAGTGTTGCCGTTGCATCCTTGTTGGTCACTGACTCTACATGGTACTGCTTCCGATTTCTGAAAGACCATAAATACTTCGCCCCTGATGTTGTGGCCTTGTCCTTTTCCGCTACTGCTGGGCAGTTTTACATCTTCTCCATGATCCAAGAGTTTGGTGCCCTTGCTCTGGCAGCGGCGATGAATGCAAGGCAGATCACGACGATAATTGCATCCTATGCGTTTCGCCCGCAGTCTGCGACCTGGACGCAGTCGATTGGCTTGGCTCTCCTGTTCCTTGGGCTCATCCTGAGGAGTGTCTGGAACTGGCGAAACATCCGCATCCGCGAAGACAAGACTTCTCCATCCTGTGGTGGAAGCTCTCCAGAGTCTGACAAGCAGCTTGGAAATCTTGGGGTCGTCCGAGCTGCCAAAATCGGGCATACCGATGTCGAGGAGGTGAATGCAGATGTCGAGACCGAAGAGTTCCTGCAATCCAGGTGACAAAGATGTTGCACCTACGAACGGCGAACGGCTTTCTCATCACATCTGACAAAGCTGCCAGTCTGGGTGCATTGGCCACACAAACAGAAGCCAGCAACAGCATCGAGCACCGAAAGTGGCGAAGGTGAGCCACACTTTTTGTGAAACTTCATCGCGGCTGAGCCGATGCTTCTGCCAGAGGGCATTGCTCATGGAGCGCAGCGTGTACGTCACGGCTGGTCATTCCTGGTCAAGGCAAGTTGCACTCAGTTTGGACTCCCAGCAGGCGCGATGCTTTGTCATTCGAGGACTGCTCGTCAGGATGTGAATCACGTGGGCAGGGGCTCACATAGAAAGAGCCAGGAAAGATCGCACATCAGGACGAAAAAGACGGCAGTGCCATGTACGTGGACGTAGGTCTCCTGCTTTTATCTTGCATCTGCAGCCTGTACATCCATCCCAGGTTCCACGAGACCTTCAAGCACTTCCATGACATTGCAGAAGATCAGTTCGATTTTCACAACTATTGCTTGCGTAAAACTACGCTTAAGGCAGAGGGGGCAGCCTTCACTGGGGAAGCAGTTGCAAAGCATCCTGATGTCTTTTCCAATTTAAATACCGGGCAGGCGTACGTTGCAATGCTACGGATGCAAGAGCGGCCGCTCAGCTTGCATAGTGGCATAGCCCAGCCCGCTTGCATTCTCATGCAGCGTATGCCTGCTATAAGTAGTCCGAATACTCTGCATCACCATGGTGGTCTGGACAGGTTATATTCACACAAATTCTATCGACGTGCTGCGAAGGACGTCCGAAGAGTGTCTCTCTGTCTCTCACCCCCACTCTCTCTCTCGCTCTCTCTCTCTCTCTTCCCTGCAGCGTGTGTGCGCATGTGCCCTCTTGTATGGCGAACATGACATGACGGCCATGTGAAGGATGCCGTCAACATTTACCTTGAGCTTTTTGCGTCGACCCCGGAGCAGCCCGAGAGCTTCTGTCAGGGCTTTGCTTGGATGTCGGGCGTGGGCCTCTCGGCCCCTCTGCCCCTTGGCCTCTCGGCCAATCCCTCTGAGGATGCGAAAGCTCGTGGTGACGAGATCCTAACCACCGAAGGCTCGTGCGTTGTGAGATGCTGTGACTCAGTTGTGACATGTTGGTGACAGGTTACAAAAGGTTAGGTGACGGTCTGGTTAAGTCGCCCAGAGATTCAGAGCCTGCAGGTGCCGCTGCTAGTGCAAGCCCCAGTCGGATCCGGGAGAGGGGGGGAAGGGGGGGAACGGGGAGGGGGAAATCCACTACGAACCCCGAACCTAATCCCAAATGAGGCCGAACCGGAGCCCGAACCCGAACTCCCCCCCACGTATGGAAACTCCACCCGAACCCAAACCCGAACCCGAACCCCAACTCGGGCTCTTAGGGTTTAGGTTTGGTTGAAGGCGTTTCAGGGTTTAGGGCTTTCGGGTTAGGGTTTTAAATTTTGAGGGCCTTTTGTGGCTTTTAGGGTTTCTGCGGTGTAGGGTTTGGTTGTTGGCGTGTTGTGGCGTTTTCAGGGTTTAGGGGTTGAAGGGTTTCGGGTTGTAAGTTGTAGGGTTGAAGGTTTTGGGTTGTTTATGGTTTAGAGCAGAAAGTAAAGGGTTTGGGATCTTCAGGGTTTGAGGTTTTAGGGCTGTCAGGGTTTAGTTTAGGGTTGAGGGTTTTAGGGTTTACGGGCGTTTAAGGTTTGAGGTTTTCCCCTTAAGGTTTTATCCGGGTTATGATGGTTTAAAGTATTTGGGGTGTTTGTGCTTTAGGCTTGCTAGGCCGCAGGGTTTCAGGGTTTACAACTTGAGTTTGGGGTTTTGGGGCGTTTTTTTTGGGTTTAGAGTTGGGTTCAGGGCTTATGGAGTTTTTCGGGGTTCAGGGTGTGGGTTTGGAGGTTCTAGGGTTTTGGGCGGTTAGGGTTTGGGGCTTTTCGGGTTGAGGGCGTTTTAGGGTTTAGGCTCTTCGGGTTTAGGGTTTAAGTTTTGAGGGCATTTTAGGGCTTCAGGGTTTCGGGTTGAAGGGTTTTGGGTTGTAAGTTGTAGCGTTGAAGGCTTTTAGGGTTGTTTAGGGATTACGGCTGAAAGGAGAAAGTTGAGCTGCACCTTTCGAGCTGCTGAGTCGTGCGGGTATGGTTCCTGAATCATGCCGGTTCTGTGAATACATGCGCTGCTAGAAGTTAGCTTTGCTTGACGTAAGAGTTTCGGAGGGCAAGCTCTCTGCATTGAATGTGGCGCCCACCAGCTTGATGGATCCTTTTTGCTTTTTTGTGTCGTGTCGACCGCTGAGGCGCAGAGACGGAGCTGAGCGCAGAGGAAAAGAAGAAGCTCAAGCACAAGAAGAAACGTGAGGTCGGCAATGTGGCCACACATGGCCGCACATGGCCGCACTTGGCCGCACATGGCCACTCTGTCTTGCTGGTTCTATCTGATCTCCTTGCTGTGAGGCGCAGAAGGAGGCGCAGAAGGCAACCGACAAGCCGTGGCTTGGTGTCGGAAGTTTCTGCAGCGAATGGAAGATATTGAAGATTGCAGAAAGAGAGTTTGCCTGCGGCAGCCAGATGTGACTTTGACAACGTGTTGCGTTGTCTAGTGCCTTGGTCTTGTGGCACACAGGGTGATTTGAGAGTTTGCGAGGTCCACAGGAAAGCCGAAAAAGGTAGACGATGACCCGGATGGTGAGAAACTCCTGTCGTGATCCGAGAAGCTGTGAAGCTAGTTACAGCTAGTTGCCTGCTCGTCGTTTTTTTGCCGGCTTTCTTTCGGTCACACTACAAACTAGTACAACACTGCTTTCTTGTGTAGAACAGCCTTGTGTTCGAGGCAGCAAGATGCCATGGAACAGGCTGGCAAGATTGTCCAGACCTCTGCCCGAAAGCTGTGTTTTTTGTGCAAATATGAAGTCTAAGGTTCGTACTTTGGTGCAGCACAGCTCCTTGGATGCTTCCACGCATGTCGCAACCCAAGCTGCCAGCATCGTTCAGTGGAAAAGCTCTAGGTCTTTCATGAGTCAGGTGTTGTTGCCAAGACGTCCCCTGCGCACACTTCTGTCTAAGGTGCTAACCTACGAAGTGTTCAGTCGACAAGGGAAGGTAATCCACTGCCTGCAGGCCGGTTATTCTTTTCATTCCTCTTCGTGAAGAGAATGAGGGGTCTCTTCTGCTTTGATATTCGATTTTCGCAGTTCTAGTTGCCCGTTCAACTCTTACACCGTGGAATAGACACATGTAAAGGCTGGCATCTTTGATCAGTTCTCGCCTAGTCTGATGCCTCGCTTTGTCCGTACACAGTCCAGAGATGCTATGAGATGCTTTTCTGACCTGCGTAACGGTCTTAGGAAACCTGCGTTTCAGCCCATCTTTCAGCGCCTTCTCTGTTGCGCTTTTGCTGCAGCCAGTGCTTTCGCGAACCAGGCCCTCAGAAAGCTCTGGGAGCTTGGCGGACATGACAACCTTCACTACAAGCTCGTTGCCCCGTCCGGATCACGGCACTGGGTGTGGCGGCCGCAGTGCAGCAATGCAGTTTTGCGGCTGTCCAGGCTTGCCAACTTCTGTTTCGCCCAGGATCTGGAGCAGGAATCTAAGCCAGCTCAGTCAGCAAACTGCGCAAAAAATCGCTGAGTGTGCCATGGACACTTTTCTGCCTCGCATCCAGCCAAGGAACAGTTCAGTTCCCTCCGTGGTGCGCGAAGTGGTTGGAAGCCTACCCGGGCCTAGCCGGCCTAGCCGTTGTCGGCGTTGTAGCACGCTGTGACTAGGATTTGTATTGTAGTGCTCTTGGTGGGCTGCGTACTCCATACGAGGTGCTAGCGGAAATCGCTCCGATCTTGAGGGGCAAAGATGGTGCCCCTCCTCATTCGCTTCTCACCAACCTGCACTGTACGAAAATGCGACATGCGTGAAGTGCTCGAAACAAAAGGTGCAGAGCCTTTCAGCAGTGTCTCCGAGATGAGACAGGCAAGAAGCTCCAAGACCTCTTTCCAGTTGATTGCTTTCCACTGCCTTGCAGGCAGCGTCGAAGCTTGTCGACCAGGTGGAGCGCCGAATAAAGGCGGGCCGTCCACGGAAGCAAATCGTTCCTTGATTGTGGTCTTTGTGACTTCTAATCAGGAGTCACAAGATCTTTTCCTGGTGGAGGTGCTCTATGGCTCAGGGCTGAAGTGTCCCGAGAACACGCAGAGACGCACAATGCCGTGAAAACCCAGCGAAGCCTAGCAAAGGTCTGAAGTGTCTGAGAAGTGCTGGCAGAGACTGCAAGGCCTTGCTGGAGGCCTGCCGTAAAACCGTGACGTAAAACCGTGATGTGACCATATGATGTGACCAGAATGTGACCATAATGTGCCTCGAAGGCATGGGCTCCTCCTGGGGCCGTTTCCCTACTGCGATGTCAGATGATGTCAGTGTCCCGGAGCCGTCGGAGCCCACACTGTGCATACTGTGCAGGTCATCTGCTTGAAGGAGAGCAAAAAGCTGCTCGACTACTTAGCACAAGAGTTCGGAAAGGACTATGGTTCTGACTCCGTGCAAATGCCAACTCCATGTTTGTGAAAATTGTGAGCCTGCGTTTCTGGAGGACTCTGCTGCTTGGCAGCGGCTGCGTCAGCGATGCTCGGAGTTTTTCCCCTTAATGGTGCCGACCTAAAGCTGGCGTTGTTAAAGGGCACACATGGTTGACTTGTCAGCTCTCAGGTCATCCCGTGACTGATATGGGCAAGTTTTGCAGCCAACTCCAAGTCGTCTGCTTGCGCGGAATGTAGCTGCAAGCCAAACCTGCCGTGGCAGCGTTGGTTTGCTTTACAGAGACCAGAACTGAACACACCTCCAACGTCATCGAAGCTTACACTGCGTTACTGCATCACTGCATTAGTGACATTAGTGTTAGCTTTGTGAGTGGTGAGTGATGGACGCTCTGGCCTCCAAAGCTTAAAAAGGATTGGACCACCGGCAGGGACTAAGCAGCTTGCAGCGATCTTCCTTCTCGCCCATTGCCCCATCCCGACAGCTCACAGAGTGGAAACACAGAAGACCGAGGGTCGTGCTAGCTGTTCCACGTTCAGGATTGGTTTCCCACGTGTCTAGCAAAGACTTGAGGGAGTCGTGATACACACTCGTTTCACTCGCTGGCATCAATGGCTGCTTCTGTGAGCAATGTCCGGTGCCCGCAGAGTGATGGAATTGATGGAATCAACAAGCTGTACTCAGAGCTTGCTGCGTTGATGATGAAGGACTCGATTTCGCGGTCAGGCGGCAATGACTTGGGCGACAGGCAGCGCCGCCTTGAACAAGAGTTGGAGATCTTAGGCCAGGTGTGCAAAGGTACCGGAGTCGAGCAAGGCTCCAAGGAATCAGCTGAAGTTCTTGCTGAGATTTGGGATCACGTCGAGGATGAGCTGGTCTCGCTCTCATCACAGGTCGAGGCCTTGCCACGCATGTCCGGAATCCAACCTGGAGAGGTTGCCCAGCTCGTTGACGACACAGCCGATCTGGAAGAGTTTCAGAGTCTTGTTCAAACGCAGGCTTGGAAACTCTCTCCCATCGTTCCTCCAGTGTGTGCAAGATCTTCCACACTTGCCAGTGAGGAAGGGTCGGAAGGGAGCGCAGCACGCATCCCATTGGGGGCCGTGGGGCCCGTGAGAGATTCACAGACGGCAAAAACTGCAGTGGCACGCAGCCACACCGCCTTGGGGCAAGCTGGAGAAATCCATTCGCGCTCTGAACCCCTCGGGTCTGATGGTCGAGAGGCTCCCGAACGAGCAGATGCCCCAAGTAGCTTCCGAAGTGCTGCAGACCTATTTCCAGAGGTAGCCAGCAAGAAACAACCACAGCCCAGTACACAGAAAGTTCCACTGGAACTGGAAGAAGTCAGCCAGTCAATTCTAAAGCGAGATGCAAGATGTCGGGCTCCGAAGCGCTTGCATCAAGATGCCTGTGACAAGAAACATGAATGGAGTGATGCCTGGCTACGAATTGCAGATGCGGATCAGCTTGAACGGCTTGTGCCCGCGCTGGAGGCGACGATTCATCGCACTGATGCCGCAGATGCCATCAAGAAGGACGATATCGCTGGTTTAAGCTTCGTTAAAATGCAGATCGAAGAAGTTTTGATTCTGCCACGCTTGCATCCTGAGCTTTTCCAATCCGCATTAACAAAGCCAGCCCGTGGCCTTCTGCTCTTTGGCCCACCTGGTACAGGAAAGACCTTGCTTGCTAAGTGGATAGCTGCAGAGTGCGGGGCGACATTCTTCAATGTCAACGCTTCCACCGTGATGTCCAAATGGATTGGAGAGGCAGAAAAAACCGTGAAAGCATTGTTTCAGCTCGCTGCGGACAGGCAACCCTCCGTCATATTCTTGGATGAGATCGATTCCTTGCTAAGCCAGCGTCGAGATGCAGACAACGAGGCCTCACGCAGAGTCAAAAACGAGTTCCTCACGTCCTTGGAAGGAGCCGATACAGCAGCTGACGAGAGACCCGGATGTGTTATGGTTTCGTGAATCTGAGTGTTTGTGGAACCAGTGAAACTGCGATGTGCATACACAAATGTGCATGTGCATGAGCCCTTCTCGCCGTTCCTCTCGCCAGTGTTATCCTCGACCAGTTTCAAGTCATCGTTGACCCATGACATTCATGGGAATCAACATGTACGATGTGCAGTCCTCATCCTGGATTCTGGCATCTCCAGTGTCGGTTTTTTTCCCAGAATGCCCACAAATTATGCGTTTCAAAACATTAGCACTCGTCGGTGAATATCGAGATCTTTGTAGGCATCGTGACTGCCTTTCTGCATCCATGACGCCTTGCACACGTGTGACCTTCAGTCACTGAAGTCCTGTTTGGATCGACGTGCCGCCTTCGAAGTCGAGTAACAACTAGCAGGATCGACACATTCGCAGTAGCCAGGTACGCCCTTCAAGGTGCTTCTGTTCGGCGTATGTACAATTCGTAGATAAGCTTCGCTGTGCACGCCACTGCCTCTATGAGGTTACGAAAGCTCCCTCATGTTTGAATTTGAGCCTTCGTTCAAGACTCTGCGTAAGCTGGGGGTTCCAAGGGCGGGGGCTCTAGAATTACTAGAATTCCTTCACGGTGCCTTCGAAAGCCTCGAGCTCGTAGGCACTATACCGAAAGCGGTTTAAAGCAAAGACCAATCCAGGAAGATTCTGCTGGTTGGAGCTACCAACATGCCGTGGGACCTGGATCATGCTGTGCTCCGCAGGCTGCCAAAGCGTCTATATGTTCCGCTGCCTGGCAAGCATGCCCGCCAATCCCTTTTGGCGGCTCAGTTGAAGAAGCACAACTCGAAAGTCGGGCTTCGGGGAGACATAAGCGAGTCGGACATCCAGTACATTGTGGAGCGCACCGAAGGCAAGAAAAGCGCATTCGCCACCTGTGCTTGTGCCAAAACATGTGTTGTAGTCTAGAGTCTATATAGTGATGCCTTGCCGATGTTTTTGCGGGTATGTTTTGCACCCCTGCAGGCTTCTCGTGCTCGGACTTGCAGCAACTGCTGTGTGAGGCAGCCATGGGTCCAGTACGGGAGGTGGCTTCCATGGCTTCTGCGCGTGCAGGCTCTCAGGTCGCTTTGCTCAGATTGGTCTCAAGTTGTCTTAGTTGCTACAACCTGTTGGCAAAAGCCGCCTGGCACGTTCTTTCTGCGATCTTTGCTCACAAGGTGACACGGGAATTGCGAGATATAGCAAAGCGTGATTTCGATTGCGTCTCAGCTGCAACAGTGGCTCTTGCTGGTACATGTGGTGCATGTGTTGCGAATGACCAGGTGCCTTGCGGAGGGTGAAGCCGACCCACAATGCCGAGCAGGGTCTGAGACACAAAGCGTTCAACGAAGAGCATGGCACTTGTCGAGTCTCGACTGTTGGGTACTATTCAGGTTCTATTTGAGTACTAGTTGAGTACTATTTGAGTGCTATGTGAGTACTACTGGTGTTTGAGCACTCTTTGAGTACTATTTTCAGTACAATTTTTCAATCCTTGGCTTTCTTTGTCATACTGCAGTGCGGTGTGTTTTGCTTGATGTGCCGAGGCGGGGAGGATGCCATGCAGGACGTCGAAGGAGATATGGTCTAGCTCACTAGCTTTAGAATGGCGCAGTTCAAAGCGCTCAACGTTGCTAATTGTGCCGCAGCAAGTGCTGCCAAAGAGTGTGTTTTCTGGTTGTCTGAATGATGGACTTCCGCCAATGTGGCTTTGCATCTCAGTTGGCATGAGCAAATCATGCACACTGCAAGAAGATGCGTGCAGCTTGATGCTGCTGACTTACAGGGTCTAGTTTCGGGGAAGCATTGGGATCGCGACTATTGAGACGGGGGCTCGCTTGTGGAAGAAACAAATGAGCAGGTCACGTTGGCTTTCGTATCCAAGTGGTCCACGCGCTTGCATAATACCGTGTTGCAATGTCTGCAATGTATGCCTCAAGTGAGTGGGTTTTAGCAAGAGGTCAGATCTGATTTGTTTTCCTTGGGCTGGTCCCGCTTGAAGGCGTGTGCCGTGTGCAAGACTGCCCTGCCTGATCTTGCACGAATGGAGGCGATGTTCACCATGATGGTTCTGGGCTTCTGCACCGGCGTGACACCAAGTTGAGTTCCCAATGAGATGGCTCTACCTTGTTCTTTTGCCTCATCACTGTTGAGCAGCTGTGCAGGTATTTGTGTTGGAACATACCAGGACTCGTCAGAGTGCCATTCTCGCTGCTCGATGAGGATTGTGTCAGCTCCATTGTATAGGAGGCCAACATCAAGCCTCTCTATGACATGGTGTTCTCCAAATCGGCGCAGCTTTGGCAGGTACGCTTCCCTTTTTCCGAGGTGTTGATGTTAAGCAGTGTTGGCAACGAACGGAAGCACATGGGCGTCGTGCACCAAGACATTTGCGCTGGCTCAGGACAAGGTGATTGGCAAGACAGGTTGAGCTGCACCTGGCTTGAGGCCCATCCTGTGTCTTGTGCAGTGTTCTGAAACTGTTCTGAACTTGCCAACATGTTCAGGACCACGGGCTTGAGCAGCTGACCAGTCTGCTCAACCTCCGTACACTACCTTCTGACACACAGTGACACACATCGCTTCAAATTCGTTCGCGCACTTCATTGTATCAGAGTTTCAGCCATTCACCGACTCAAAACCCAGACGAAGTAGGAAGTGCGAAGTCCCTCGAGAAGTGCGCGCCTTCTCTGTGAGCCTGGTCCCTGTGAGCATAAAGAGGAGGCGATCAGGCGATCAGAGCTGTCCAGAGAGCTCGATCCCAGATCTGTGGCTCACGGAGCGGCAGTCCGAGCACAGTTCCCGCCGCTGGCACAGACTCAGCAAATCTCAGCTTAAGGTACGGGAAGCAGTGAGAACAGGGTCGTTGCGTTCGTTACATCTTCCATGCTCCAGGGTCTTCTGCGGACGGGTCTGCCAAAACTCTTTGTCAGTCGCTTCCCGCTCATGCAGGCTTCTGGCTCAAACATGTGGAGGTCCAAAGCGTAACAGAGGGAGCCCAGTTGGGTGACTCCTCTTCTCGCTGCGCCGCAAGCTCGGCCAGAAGCCTTCACTTCCGAGCCTATCCGAGCCCCTGCAGTGCTCTGCACAGAAGGCTCCCATGACAAATCCGTCGGGACTTGCACCCCAGCCAGCCTTGAGCTCAGTCTCTCAAAGCCGAGCGTGTGAGCATGCTTCCGTTGGTTTTCTGTTGTTTGCTCCTTCCAGAGTCCGCTACTTTCAGCTGCTTTCAGAACTGCTCTCAGCTGCCTTCTCAGATCTGTGTGAACACGGTAGCGCCGTCACGAGCTCGGCTGAACTGCAAGGGGTGGCCATCTCGAAGCCTAGGGCTGTTGCGAAGTTGCTTCCTAGGCTGTTTCCCAGAGGGAAAGATCATCAACAGACAGATCTGGGCTGAGATGGACCCACATGTACTCATTTACTCGGTGTTCTATGTGCTCCGGTGTTCATTTTCTTCTCTGAGGCTGGTGAGTGGCATGATGTTCGGGGCGGCGGCCGCCTTGTTCGCGACGTGCAGGTTGTGCACCCAGATCATCTTTAGTTCTGCTTCGCAGTGAGTCCCATACCGCTAAGCCCAGACCGCTTGTGATCCTGTGAGGTGTATCCGCGGCACATCCGGGAGACGGAGACCCACCAGCATCTGCACAGGCAGGACCTATACGTGTCGGCACCAGGATGCAGTCAACGGAGCTTAAGGCTGACACTTTGACACTTGGGCCATGTCGGGTTTCAGGACTGCAGCAGTGAAGCACCACCTGCGCAAGATGGCCGATAGACCCGAGATGTTGAGCACCTACGAGCACGACTTCGGCCCGCCCGCCAAGCATGCTGTCATATTTTGTCTACACACATACCGATGGCTGGCTTGAGAAGGAAGTCTGTTGCCGGCAGAGTGCGGGCCCAGGATTTATGACGCGGCCCAAGCCTCGTGATTTCTCGGAGCTGCCAGCGCGGCAAACAAGGCAGGGGGTTTCAGGGTTTCTTTGCGCAGCTGTGTTCTTGGAAGGTGTGTCAGCATCAATGTGTCGAGCAGGAACCACTCAGAGCCTCCGTCCCGTGCTAGTTCGGCCCGCCTGACTCTCGAACAACGGAGTGCCAGCATCCTCGGAATATTTTCTCGACAACAGAGGCTCTCAAGCAGGTTGGACGGGCCCAGGCCTCAGAGGTGAATCTAAAGGCAAGCATGTACCACGTTGTAGGAAGTGGTACATGTTTGAGCAGCATTGTTAACATGGTCATTGTGCAACATTGAGCACATTCCTGTAAGTTACGCCTCCGGCTCCAGGTGAGTACGGGATTGACTCGAACTCTCAGCCGCTGACGGCATGATTGAGCCATTGAGCCTCCCGTTTCAGTTCTCAGCCAGTGCACTGCCAGGCAGTTTGCCAAGACCGAGTCAAAGCTGCAGGTGGGGCCCCTCAAGTGAAGTGCTGAGCCATGCTGTTGAGCCATGCTGTTGAGCCATGCTGTTGCCATCTGCTAAGCCTCTTGCACCTAACAGGGCTTCCAGCAGAGCGCGGCTCCATTGCGACTATCCGTTGCTGGTTGGGGAGATTGCCGCTGGAGCCCGAAGACCGTACTCCTGCTTTGTTGACAGTTGAGATGTGACAGATATGGCTAGCAGATCCTGCGCCGTCGAAGCCCTTGATGAGTCTCGACCCCGTGCCAGCATCCGAACATGGTCATGGGCATGACGCAAAAGCGGATCACTCTCCAGCAGACAACGAATATCATGAATCTCAGGCGGTGTCCATTGAGTTGTTCAGTGTGTCTAGATGCCTTGCACCATGGCTTGCTTTCTCTACCTTCTCATGGGGAGACGTATCCATTGACTGACACACAGGGCCCCTGATTTGCCATTTGTGAGTCGCTGAGCAGCTCTCGAAACTTTCAAGAGAATCAGAGACTCTGCTTGCAGGATCTTACAGAGTTTCGAGAATCTGCTCTTGCTTAGGGTTAGGATGGTTAGCATTTGTTAATGGTCCCAGGCATCGTGCTGAAGCAAGCGTTCAGCTCGCTGCATACATCTCTGGAAGGCTTTCTTTCCAGTACCATGCAGCATTTGGTCCTGTGAAAGCTCAGGGCTTTTCTGTGGAGCCCCGACCTATCTTGTTGAAACATGTTGAAGCCGGCTAGCTGGGTGTTGTGCTTTCGAAGACTTTCTCATCGCTTTCCGTCTTGGCCATATCGTCGGGGAAACATGAGGTTCGACCATAGCTCAGGCGTGCTTGTCGGAGACTGCGCCGTAGTGCGAAGTACTACAGCTCGCCAATTGTTTCACTACTTTCGTCACTGAGGCCGTGTGACAGAAGTTTCAAAATGGGAGCGCCAGCCCCCCCGCCCCCAGCCCCCAGCACGAAGTATTAGTAAAGCTCTCTCCCTGGTCATCTCGTCACCATAAGAAGAGCAGCAGACACAAACAACCAATGCAGGACAAAACGCACGAAGCATACAACATCGTACTCAGCTTGCAGGTTCCTTGGCGTGGAAGCAACGTGCATTTGGCAAACGAGCATTTGGTGAGCATGATGCAGAGAACTCTTTGACTGTTCACCCGTAACTTGTGTGATCATGCTGCAAGTCCTTGTGGGAAACCTTCATGCATGTTTGTCCACTCGTGCGAGTTCTGGCTGGTAGTTGATTCGAACACTTGCCCCCTGCCAGCCAGATGGGGTTCAAGCCCTGGAAGTTCCAAGTGTGTGTTTTTCTGACATGTTGCATACAGTCATAAAGTTCACATGCATGTGCCGAGGAACAACAACGTGGGATGCACCTTCTGCACTGGTGCGGAAGGCAATGCTGTCGAGGTTCAGGCGGGCCCTCACCCGTAGTGCTGTGTGCTGTGTGCCGTGCTCGTCTTGCCTGGGTTTTCGCCAAACATAGTCAACGCCCAGCGCTCAAATCAACGCTTGACCACAGGGTGTCGACAAACGAGCGACTAGTGACCTGCCCAGTGATGTGATGCCCTGGGCCTGTACAGGGCAAGTTTCCCAGCGATGGCAAGCTGGAGAAGCGTGGCCCACACCAGTCTCGCCTCTTAGGTGTCCATGTTGCAGCCCTTCGTTTGCGCAATGCCGCAACTGGGCTCTTGACTGAGGTTTGAGAATGGAGCTACGTACACTGGTGAGTGGATGGGTGGCTTAGCTTTGACAGTCTTGACCTTCAGTCCAATTCATGGCGCAATCAGTGCCGAACGAGTCCCTTCTAGGCAATGCCCGTCATGGACAAGGAGAACAGGCAGGGACCGTGGCGGATCTTGCATGTACCTGTACCAATACAAGATGTCAGAATCCAAAGGTTCATCGGCGAAAAGGATTTTTGCGAAGGTTGCCGACCCTGCTTATGTTTCCCATGCCTACAGGCTCTTGTCAATCCGGCAACATAGAAGATGCCTTCAATGGGTGACACTTTCCGGCACGCATTTCTTTCCCGTCGGCCACACCTCAGTTTTCCGAACGCTGCGCAGCAGAAGAGAAGATCATGTGTGTTGTGCGGGCATCAAGTCATACAAGTTCAAGCACAATCGGAGCTTTGCACTAGATACAACAGCTCGCTCGCTTTCGATGTTTAGGTGGACCAAGGTGGACAGTTGGTCTTAAGAGCGCGCTGGCGTAAGTGGGGATGTTGTACATCGTTCATGAATCATGATTCATGTGGATAAGGGACCCAAAAATTCTCTAAGCGGCCGCCACAATGAGCCAAACATTAGAGTCATTAGAGGGTAAGGCTGAGTGCTTATCTACATTCCTCGGCCTGTCCAGATATTTTCTAACCTTGGTTCGTGGCTGGGGGGCATGTCAGACAGTATTCCAGCCTCTGCTGAGAGTGATTACTACTCGTTCCCTTGATCTTGTAAGTATGCTCTGCCCCTCAACTGCCTCAATCGCCCAAACTCCACACTGTCAGTTAGTTGAGGCTCGTCCATGGAACCAAATTGCGCCCAAACTCCCAAAAGGTGTGGCCCGATGGAGCCAAGTACACCGGCAGCTGGGCCACATGCTCGGCGAACGTTCTCCTTGTGTCCTCCTCTTGTGTCCTCCTTTTGTGTCACCTTTTTTGTGTTCTTCTATTTTCGTGTCCCCTTCTGGCTGATTCGGGACATCTCGGGACTGTAGCCAGGAGAATGACAAAGCGCACGGCAAGGGACGATTCGAGCACGTCGACGGAGATGCTGCTTGGCGTCAACAACGGTTGTAGAGTCGTTTTTCCGTGTTGGCTGTGTCCACCAGATTATTATTATTAGTATTATTCTTATTTAAAGGGGCTGCGCCCAGGGGCGGGCAACGCCCCCAGCAGGTTTAGGAGGACGGGAGTGTGAAACGAAGGCGCGCCGCGCGCGCACGCGCCGCCGGGAATGCCCACGATAGCGGTGTAGTTACAGGGCCTTGGAGGTCCTGCTGCCCTGAACCCCCCCCCGCCCCCGCAGCACCAAGGACCTGCTGATGCTGCTGCTGCTCGCCCGCCGGATCCACAAATAGAAGCGAAGCCTCGATGATGCGCACCCAAGCCCGCCACCCAACCGCGCATCATGAGCATCAGCGGCTCCGGCCTCGAAGCATTGGTGGGTTGTGCGAAGAAATGGCGGCCTCCACACGGAAATGTCCCTGACAGCACGAAAACCACGGTATTTACGATGGTTTCTGCGTTTTCGAAGCCCCAGCCGCTTCCGAAACCCGAGGCCAGAACCGCTGATGCTGATGATGCGCGCTGTTTTGGGGTGACTGCTGATGCTCTCCGGGCCCCCATTTCCGGGGGGGATAGCGCGTTTTCGCCATGAAAAATGCGCCTCAAAAAATCATGCCCTTCGAAAGCCGCGTTTGGGGGCCGGATGTTGCCGGCCGGCGGCCCTGCATGCCCATCCCATTGCTAAGGCAAGGGCTTCTGCCCTGGCAGGCACACAGGGGGGCGTTGCTTTGAGGCGGGGGGGGGGGGGGGGGGTAGGGGGCGGTGAGGGCGTGTATCGGAGCGGCAGGGGCCGGTGGGAGGATCGGAGGGAAGGGCAGGGGAGCCGTTTCAGACACTGGGGCAGGGGCCAGGTGGTGGGAGGGAAGGGCAGGGGGGTTGGTGTGGGGCGGGGGGTCTTCACTAACGCCTCCCCCGCTTGAGTGGGGGGTGGGCGGATCACCTCCGCGCCATGAATCCTTTATCTGCACGGGCGCTTAGTACTATAATGCGTTTGTAGTGGGCGACATTTTTTTACTATAAAGATGCATGCGCACAAGAAGAAGTTATGGCACCACTTGGCACTCATGTTGATACATTACGGGCCCAAAGCCCCATTATAGAAATACTGATCCGCTCACAGATGAACTAGTGCAGGAAGTGAGCATACGAAGTAGCTGCACTCGTTCACTGGCCTCGTTCATAATAGTGTGAATGAAGCGAATACATGAGCTTGCGCATGTATGAACTGAGTGAGTACCCCAAAGTCCGTTAGTAATGCTACTTTAGCGGGTCTTTTGGGACACTCATATAGGTCATGCATGAAGTCTACTCATGGTTGAGGACTGTCTTTGACGGGCTTTATATTTGCTAGCCCGTATGAATAATGTTAGCAATTCTGGGTTTTCAACAGATAATCTTCGTCAATCAAAATCAGCGATGAAAAGAACAAAACTTGCAAGATTCTTTGTTCTTCATAAGCCTGTTTCTAAAATTTGAGATGACGTGAATGATTTTATGAACGGATTTTGCATACCTGTCCTTGTATCACCCGGTATTTGCATTATACTCTTTACTTTAAGTATTTGGAAAGGAATTCATGTCATGCTCATGCTTCTAGTTTAACATATAGTCAGCACACACGCACCTTAATTGAAAATTATGGGGACTTTGCGCAAATATAGATAGTTGTAGCAGAGAGAGCCCCTGACAGTCAATTAATTGCATTCGTGAGCTCATTGTACTCACCTCATGCTTATACTGATATAGACGTGCTCCTAATGAACACCTTTACGCACGAGCACGCATGTTTACTGAGTTTTTGTGTTCTTCGCTCACACGGTTGTATTGTGTATTATTATGTTTTTAGCCCAAGATACGAGGGTGTGTTAATATCATTAAAATGTCCCACAGGCAGGAATGCTTGTAATTATACCCGCAGGTTTGTAAGACTAAGAAGAGTGAGCGCGCGATCGCAAGCCTGCTCTAGCCTTGCTCAGAGCTCTGAAATCACGAGTGATTGAGAATACGCACTGGCATGCCTTGTTTTCAGAACAGCATTTTTCTGAAGATCCATGTGAGGTCTATGAAGGCGAGTGGAAGTCAGACAAAGCCCACGGCTACGGAGTGTGCTCTCTCGAAGTTGTGCTCGCAGTGCCCAGAAAATGAGCGCATTGTAACAATGAGGTACCATCATGCCGATGGTTCCCGGTACGAGGGCAACTGGGCCAAGAGCTCTGTTGTACGGCATATTGCGGCAATTTACGGCATCATATGCTTTGTGGAAAGAGCAGATCAGAGCAGATCGGAGCGGCTGGTGAGGGAGGCGTGGTTGCTCCACTTTGCTACAATCTCGACCACTTCAGGCTGATGACAAGCAGCACGGGCAAATGCCTTAGTGCCATGCAGCTAAAATGTCAGCTAGATGAAGGGAGCATTTTTGAACGAGCGCAGGAACGGCAAGGAGATCTGGCCAGATGGCCCGCCTTCAGTCTACGTTGCTTCAGTGGACTTTCGCGTTCACTGAGTATGCCTCTTTGCTTTTGCGCCATTGCAGGTGCCAAATATGAAGGTGAGTACGAGGCATGTTGTTGAACGTCACTAGTGTCGCAATGTTTACTTGAACCACAGCGTGCAGGCAAATTAAGTTGTCAGGCTGGTAGAAAGAGCGGCAAGGGGCACTTCTCCTGGTCAGATGGCTCCAAGTACCAGGCCAGACATCCAGGGGAACAGAAGAACGCTTCTTGACGCATTTTGAGGGCCGTTGATTGGCGGCCATGCTTTGGGTTAGCCGCATCTTGCGTATCAGTTCTGCTTCACAACAAGACGGCTTCAATGACAAGCAATCGTAGTAGTGTACTCGGCAAGAGAGTTCTGGCCAAATTGAGGAAACGCAGTAAGCCGAGGGCAACCCCCTTGCTGCACGATGTTAGATCTCTCATCCATTCCCATTGTATCTTTCATGGTGCGGTGGCTTGCACTGTGCACGACATGATGAAGTTAAATGTCAGGGAGAGTTTGTTGACAACGACATCAACGGTGTCGGCGTGTACCAATGGGCACTGCCCTCAGGGTACTAGTAGATGACAACATAGTTTGTCTTGTATCATTGATGGTTTTACTGCTGCAAGGGTGATGGCAGAAAGTTCGAGGGACAGTGGATGAAGAACAGAATGCACGGTTTGGTCCCAAGCGTTGTCAGATCGTGGGAGGGGGTTGTGGGGGTCAAGTTTGATGGTAGCGGCTGTGCTCAAGGTCATGGAAACTTCACCTGGGTGGATGGTCGATCCTACGAAGGGGAGTACAAGAACGATCAAAAGGATGGTGAAGGAACGCACAGAGCTTAGTTTCATGTTGTGGAATTGAGTGGCTTCCCATACGCTGCAATACCTCTCTGCTCAGGTTCAACTGGCCAGATGGACGGAAGTACAGGGGGCAGTGGTGGTCCTGAAATGTTTTGCCCTAGTCCGGGGGTTGATTGTTTCCACATGAGATAACTAATAGATCACTCTTGCGGAAGCCAGGAAAGAGGGCAAGCAGCACGGTGTTGGAGTCTATGCAACGACCTCAGCATGCAGTGCACCCGCGAATCGGAATGACACTACTTACGCAGACGGAGGATGAAGCATAAGGCTAGAGATTTCACAAACATGGAGGGAGGATTTCGAAGATAATTAGGCAGCGTGCTCATATTCGCCCTCTTTTTGACTCGACTTTGTGCAGTAATGGTGTAGAGGTCTTGTACATTTGATAGGCGGAACAGAGGTAGATGACCGAGTGATGCCGAATGTGAGTGCGGGCGCGTTGTTGCTGACTGTGGTTTCGGAGCTTTTGACCATTGCAGCTATCTATGGCGATGGTTTTGCCAGAGGGAACGAGGACTCGTGTCGCAGAACTCGTGGGAATCGTACCCAGCAGACAGCCCCAGGTCACCGCGCAAGGCGAGGAGCGCAAAGGTTCGGCGCTTTAGATCACTTAGATCTTTGGCAGATGCAAAGTTTGCGATGTCTTGGGGGTAGCTGCAGCATGAACTTTAGCAGGTGAATGGCAAGATGGCCGGCGTGTTCGATGGTTGGACAGCGAGACCAACGCCTGAGTGTTCGTCTTTTTTTGCTGTACCCTTGATGGAGAGCCACACCAAGCGTGTGTGCTCCGGGAGCAAATGTCAGAGCAGCACGTCCTGTGGACGATGCCTCACAGCGACCCAGGTACTGTTTTAACATTACCTGCGGGAGGGCTTTTCCTGTCCAAACACGTGGGGAGATTTTCGGCCACTTCCATAAGGACACATGTATGGCCTTTCGCAGTGTAGCGCGTAGCAAGTTGCAGAAGAAACAATCATGGAGAAACATCTGTCACTAGTGCTACGAGACATGATGAGACATAGGGGACCGATGTATGAAGAACGGGTTTGTGGACAAATTGATGCCTCTGTTTCACATTCCCATGGTGTCCGTGCTTTAAGTAAGAGCACCAATTAACCGCACTGTTGATCGACAGTGCTTGAGCTGTGAGACTTGCGTGCCTCTTCGCAACATGCAAATATCAATTCTTGTGTGTCGGTCCTCCAGACTCCCGAGTGCCCGAGTGCAGGAGCTTTGATGCTGTTCGGATTGTTCGGTGGCTGTGCTCGCAAAGGTGTTTCCAGCGTCGAGGAGATGCGTAGCAAAACGGACATGCACGGTCCAGCACCAGTGAGTCAGAGAGCCAGAGAGCAAGATGGTGAACATAAGCTTGCGTGATAGCATATGGCCGACATCCTGAGTTGAGAGGGTTTTCGGATAGATTCTCTCTTCTCCCGAGTTTGGCCATGGCGGCCAGTAGCCGGCGCCTAATTGTCCTGAGAACTTAACTGCTGTCCTTCCGGCCTTTCTTCAGATCCTCGCAGGTTCATCTTTCCGCAAGGCAGCATTCCGTGCAGCTGGTGTGACAGGTGGTCATCTGGGGATATGGGAAGCATGGGAAAGCCCTAATATGGCATGGACACAGTGTGCGTGAAGGTGCGGCGGCTCTCGGCTGGGTGCGAGCCCCATTCCCACTTCAGCTGGCTAAGCCATGCCGAGCCATTCACGTCATGTCATGCCACTTCTGCCAGGCATACTTGCAGCGTCTTCCGAAACGTCAGGAGGACCACCGCTTGGCTTGGACTCGCTCTCAGAACGCTTGCAACCCGAAGCTTGACAATGCTTCGCAGAATTTCGCAGACGCGTCGCTGTGTCGCCATGTCGCAGCTTGAGGCGTGAGTCAGTTTCCACGAGGCTCTACACAACCTTCGTCAGGAGCTCAAAAGCCTGGGAAGGGGATGCTGGATGCTGGGGTTGCAGAGCTTCTTTGCGAGCGAACGTGGAAGCAGGTAGCTCCGATGGTAGTGCCAGTCGCTCAGCTGCGCAGTTCACCAGCAGATGAGTTTATCGAAAGATCAGTGAATCGGTCTGTGAGGCAGACGGATGCAGAGACAGCGCACAACTTGACGCTACGAGCAGGAGAGCTCCTGCAGGCAGGAATTTGCAGTTCTTTCAGAGCACAGGATCTGGCGACCGCACGAGTGTTGGGAAGAGCTACACCTTCTAACAGACCTTGTCGCCTGCATATCCCAGACAGGGCATGCCAGGCCACACTCCCGCCCCCTAAACCCCTGACCCAAGTTCAGCTGTGTCATGCTGTGTCAAAGGCGTGTCGGTTGCTGCTTGAGCCATCCACCGCCAACTTGCCATTGGCGGGCTGCTCAGCGAGATGCTGTCGGGCAAGCACCTAGATGAGCCTAGATGCTTCCCGTGCTGTCCAAGGACTGGCTGCTACGCCCGGCCGCAGCAAGGCCGACTCCGCCTGGACCGAGCTTGCGGCAAAGCTTGTTTGGAGGGCGGTTGACCTTTGTCAGGACCTCGGCTTCCTAGCAATAGTGCCGCGACTCGTAGCGGGTAGAATGTATTTCTCGATGTGTCAGGACATGCCGGTTGGCATCGCGGCAGGATTTGACAAGAATGCCGCGCTGGACACTGCTGCTGGAGTAGCCTTTTTTTTGGGTGACTTCATATGTCGTAAAAGTTTAGCGGAAACTTCCAACCTGTGTTTCTACAACGTTGGCAAGGTCCCTTTATACCGACTTGGGTTCATGGAGCTTGGTTTTGCAGAAGTTGGATCCATCTCTGCTGAACCTGCAGCAGGGAATGAGAAGCCTCGATGTTGGCGAATCCCCAGTGACCAAGCCGTGATCAACTGCATGGGCCTGAACAATGAGGGTGCCGCGTGTGTCGCAGCCCGCCTCAAGACATTCTCTCGTGCGGATGGAAGTGCGCCTATAGGGATCAACATTGCCAAGACACACAGTCCTGCAATAGTGGGGCCGGCCGCTGTGGATGATTTTGTCCAGAGCTTCACAACCTTGGCTCCCCTTGCCGACTTTGTCGTGATTAACGTTTCGTGTCCCAATACGGCGGAGGGAAAGACATTTGAAGAGCCCAGTGCATTAGCCGATCTCTTGAGTGCTGTTGCCAGACAAAAGAAAGAGATGAAATGGGAGAAGGCTCCGCCGCCTGTGCTGGTCAAGCTCATGGCAACCCCGGACTCTGAAGACGGGCGAGCTTGTCAGCGAGAGCTTCTGAGAGTTATCGAAGATGCAAACGTCGTGGATGGTCTGGTCATCTCCAACACGATCAAGAACCCAGAGGCGCAGCTGTCCAGCAGCGGGCGACAGGCTGCAGATGCCATTGGCAAGGGTGGCGTCAGTGGCAGGGTCATTCATGCCCGCAGCGTTGCTGCCATACGGTCAGCTTTCGAAGCCACAGGCAGGTTGGCCAACTCACCATAACTCACCAACTGTGTGAACTTCCCATGAAAGGTGGGAGACTTCCCATCATTGGCGTTGGGGGCACTGATAGTGCAGAGGCACGCTATAGTCTTTGCACTTCAAACGCTGCCCCAATGCTCTAGCATGCCCAGCTTGGAGGCTGCGTACGAGAAGATTCGTGCCGGAGCAAGTCTTGTCGAGGCGCGACTTGCATGACGCGTTGCGGCGCTGAGGTCAATGACGCGACGTATACTGACGCATGCGTAGTAGACGTGGGAACCTGGGATGCCTGCAGCCTTCAAAACCGACACCTGGACCTCATGGGTGTGCGTAACTGTTTTGTCCGTGTAGCGATCGAACCCCCTCCAAGTTTCAGCAGTGTTTCGTCGAGCTCGTTCGCTTTGGACCAGCCGGCGCATGTTCGAGGTTATATCTTGCCGACCAAATCGCGGAAGCAAGCTTTTCGAAACTACGCAAATCTGTTCGCGGAAGCGTGGAAGCAACGAAGCGGACGCGTAGAAACAGTACTCGCGGAAGGAACGCGGAAGGGTTCCGCGAAAGGGTTCGCCATTTCACAGAAATTCTTGTAGGAAGAAGAACCACAGCTTACGTGTGCTTCCAACTCGTCCCCCCCTCTTTCTCGATAGGGCCGCCCTCATCCCCGACTCAAACTCTTGCTTCTCCCCCTCTTCACGTGTTCCCGACCAGGTTTCTGACTCCCCCGGCATCTGTTTTTTTGCAGACTGAATCGGTTGTTGGGGGAGAATGTGAGACTTGGGATGTTTTGGGGCTTTGGGAGGCCAAGCCAGGTGGTTTGGGGCATGGAACATGCCATCTTGATTGGCTCTTGATCTTCACGCCGACGACAAGAGACCTCGACGAAACAGATGTGACTTGAAAGTTTTGTGTCAGCTGTTCTTGGACACTCATTACAATTCGTGAAGAGCCATCGTGGCCAGCAATGGGCTTTGGAGAGGTCTACACCGGCTTGGTCTACAAAGGCCCTGGGCTGCTCACAGACATCAATACAGGCCTGGCCTTGTGATCTGTGCTTTCCGTCCGAGCTTTCTTGCAGAGTCTGGTCACTCTGGTCGGTCCGCCAGGTAGTGCTTTGATAGGCCGTTGAGAAACGGGTGTTTGCAGTTCATTGAAGATAAACTTAGATGCGCTGGAGCACTTCGTCAATCCAATCAAATCCAATCCAAGAAGCTGCGACAGTAGCAGCTGTGGTGTTCTAATGAAGCCAGTTCGACTAGCCACTTCAAGGCTTCCAGGCTTTGCAAGAGAAGCAGGCCGCAGAAGCAAAGGCTGAAGCTTCGAATGTGCTGAACGCCAGCGGAAGAATCGAAAGGACATGCAAAGGAGTACGGAAGAGAGCTCGAGCGCTTCCCGTCTGACGTTTGAGAGCACTCTGCACCGATGGGTATTTGACGAGACTTCTGCTGTGCCGGAGTCAGTGTGACTGTCAATCGGTTGTAGTGCGGTGATGGCGTCAGGTCTGCGTCGGCGCTTGCAAAGAGACGGCTTCAGCTGTATCCAGGAGGTTCTCCTCGCACTCCTGTTTGTTTGACCGTTTGAAGGGTTCATTGAAGTTGAGAAGCTCATTCAAGGCGGTCGGTGCAGATGTTCGCAAAGCACACTGAGGCGCGTGCTCGAGTGCTTCAGATCATGTTTCACTTGCGAACCTTCTGCTCATGCGAGGCACACGGAGGCAGACACTAGATGCCCATCCTCCCTGTGCTGACGGAAGCAAAGGGAGGCCCGTAAGGCAAGTCGGTGAAAAGCTCGACAAGAGAATCATCCCCAGTCTTTGGGCTTGTGCTCTGTCCGTTGCAACTGCATGTGTCGCTCATGAACCTGTCTGCCGGTCACAGCTTCCTTACAAAGCAAGAGGACTGCAAGCCTGGATTCCAGAAGCATACCCAGTCCATTTGGCAGAGTTAGGTCACGGCTTGCATCGGAGCTTTGCAGCTTTACTCTCCCCAAGTCCAACCTTCAGAAATCCAATTGCAACTGTAATTTAGCCGGCTTGAACAAGCCGTGGCATGTCGCAACTGGTTCTTGATTGGCAGGGCGCCTGGTGCGGGATCAGCATTCGTTCGTTTTGCACCTCTATAACTTGCAATGACATGCTATGTGGTTGCTCAGTTGACTCTCTCTGTGCAGGTTGAACAAAGATGTTTGCCTGTCTCGGAAGGCAGCGGCAAGAGGGCTGATATCATGTAAACACACATACACACACTCACACTCTCGCACTCGCACTTGCACTCACACTCACAGAGTCTGTGTGGGTGTGCGCGCGTTGGTTCGTGTGTGCGTGTGTGCTTCTGCCATGACCTGGTAGCCCAGTAGCTCCGGCGTTCGTGTTTGTGTGCCAAAGGGAGGTTAACATGAAAAGCGGGGGTAGTATAGCATCGTCGACTCTTGTCTTGGAAGGGCCGGTGGTGGAATACTGACGGTTTCCCGCAATCTTTGACGTAGTCTGTGCTGAGCTTCTGCTGTGCGAGGTGAAGGTGTTTGAGCGTGACTTCGCGAATGGGTTGGGGCCTCTTCCGTTGACCTTGGTGGCCGTAGCGAAGAGTCAGGAGTGGAAACAAGGGATTCGGATTCCTTTGAGCAAATCACGCCTGATCAGCGACTGTCTCAGGTATCTGTTCGGAGAATTGCTTTACAAGCATGGCCTCTTGCAAGCATTCGAGGCAACCGTTTGGTGTCGCTGCACTGCTTCGGTCCGGTTGGTGCAATAGACTGGATGGTGCGGATGCCGGTGTCAGGAGGAATTCGTGGATGAATCTCATCTGGCTGCGAAAAGGCCTGATATGGTGTCAAAACATGCGGCCTAGGGATGTGGTAGTTCGACTTGCTACAGGCAGAACTTCTCAATGGTGCAGAAAGCACTTCGGGAATCGGCCTGCTGCACAGCCTGTTCGAACGATGTCAGACACCGTGCTGACGGCGTTGATATGTTGCAATGTGTTGAATGCCGAGGTCCAAGAGCTGAGCATCAAGCTTTCCGACGCCCAGGCCGTGCTCGTGCTGGGAGGGGGGCAAGGAAGGGGCTTTCCAGGACAAAGGAAAGCACTGCAGATGTCGGAACCGTGAGGTGGAGGAGATCATGGACGAAGACCGCGGATCTTCTCTTCGGTGACTCGGCTTGACCATGCACAAGACGTGCCGCGACGAGTCTGCCCTTGCCGCCAGAATCCTGTACCAGCTTCGGAGAGTCCTTAGCACCAAGGCCACCACGAGCCTTGTACTTGCTTTTTCTGATGCTTTTACGAAGAGTCCCTGAATTCTTGGAGGCCAAGGGGGCCGTGACGTTGTCCAAGGCGGGGCGGTTCTTTGCCCGTGCTGCTTCAGCCGTTTTGGGGACGCAGCGTTGGCAATGGGCATCAGCTGCAGGGCACAGAGCGTCATGGACGACCCCGGCTGCAGAAGCAGGTGAGAGGTGAAGAGGAGGCGCCACATAAAACAATCATGCCTTTGGAGTCCAAGTGTCGTGCGGCCAAGGAGAACTTCTTCGATCAGAGAGTGAAAGCGCTTCGGCCGATAGATCAGCGATATCCCTACGAAGTGCACAACAAGGCCGGTCAGATTGGCACATCTGTCTTGCAATAAAACAGAGAATAACGAGAGCAACCCACGCCGCAAGACTTTGAGGCCTTCGTAGACGAACACACCCGGCAGCTGCGAAGCGCCCGAGAAAGAGAGTATCAGGCAGCATCATAGCAGTGCCAGAAGATGGGTCCTGGGCATTCTTCTGCGTTCTTCTCGCACATTCCTGCAGGAGACGGTGGAGAGAAGCGCCAATGTGCAGGAGTTCAGACACTCCCAGATCAAGAAAATGTCGGCGCAGCTAGATTGTGTCCGTTCATCATGCCTTTGTGCTGGTCCTCCATAGTTCGGTTTTGATGCAGCTCTCTCCGCTGCCAGGGAGAGCAGCAAGGCTCAGAAGGAGCTTGCAAGGAAAGCTGGAGAGCAGCACTGGCAGGCATAGCCTGCGCAGCCAAAGTCGTGCAGGGGGACGGCTTGAATGTTTCGTGTGCATTCTTGCGCGCAGGGTGTGCAGGAGAAGAAGTACAACCTGCTCGAGAAGGCCAGAGTCCTGTTGCACCATGTTGCACCTAACAGGGCTGGCATTGCGCATTGATTTGTCGATTGGAGGACCTAAACTTCGAGAAGGAAATGATCCGCAGAGATCAGCAGAGGAGCTGTCGCAGGACACTGGGCAAGGAAGCTTCGCCTGCGTCCTCAACAGGATAGCTACAGTCCGCGAGCTTCATGCGCAAGACTGCGGCTTCAGGGAAGGAGATGAGGACAATCCTCAGTCTGCATTCGCTAGACGGAAGAAGGACCACTGGCTTGGCAGGAGCATGGCATTGCCTGGTTCGAAAAAAACCTCCAGCGGATTGGCATCGATACGCAAGGTCCTCGGGAACAGTGCTTGCCACCTCATGCCAGGCCATGTCGTGCGGCTTGTGAGAGACGACCATGGAACGCATTGCCCGTCCGAGGTCTGAGCACTCAGGAACTGACACTGCAACGATCGAGGCTGCGACTCTGAAGGTACGATCCCTGCACGCATACAGTTTTTTGGCCGAAGCATGCTGAAGCTGTAGCTCTTGAGAGCAAGATTCCATATGTCAGGAGCTTCACGAGAAGATGAGTGAGAAGCTTCCCTCCAAGGCTGGAGAGTTTGTTGGCCGGCTTTCGTCTGCATGGGACCCTGCCTCGAGTCATTGAGGCCCGCCTGCAAATCGAATCTGCCAAACGTGGCCTTCTCGGACAAGTTGGATATGTAAGTAACTTCCGGCAAACACTGCAACCACCCACAGCCACCGACTGAGGAATGGAGAAGATTCGAGACACAAAGCGGCAGACAGATATTGCTCGCAAGGCGGCTCCGGTTGCCACTCCCATGCCTTGCAGGGTTGCGCCGTCCAGTGTATAAAGCACGGTCGAACATTCGAATCGAAGTGCTTCCACTGTGCAAGTTGTGACATCTTGTGCGATGAGTTCTTGCATAGAGGAAGTGTTTTGTTGTATGCCAACAAAGTATTCGTGGGTCTGGCGACTAGATGGATGCCAATGCCAGGTCCAAGAAGGCTCTGTCAAGAGAAAAATCTCAGAAACCTTGCCCCATTTTTTGAATAGATCTGCAAAGGGCAACAGCTTGCGCTTCAAAACGTGTTTGGAACCCGCTGCGTTGCAGATTTGCAGCAGTTGTGGCGCATCGGCGGGACAGTGTTGCTGCCAATGGGAAGAGCCATGACTCGCTTCACTCCAATGTGCGAGGAAAGAGACGGACGCAGGGCTCCAACAAAATAAGCAAAGCAGTGTCTGCGCAAGTGACACGGCAAATACCCATGGTCAGGAAAGGGAGCGTCGGCAGCGTCGCGTACAGTACGAGCAGGCAGCCACCACGGCCGGGCATCCCAGTTGTTTTATGGCCCTGAGAGCCCTTTTTGTTGTGCAAGTTGCACACAATGGGGGGCTAAAGCTTCAATTGCGCCTGCGCGCTGCGTGCAATCGCCAGGCAGCCGTTGAAGCCAAGAAGAAGCCCGGAGCCCTCTCGGGTTTGCTTTTCCTGCTGTGAAGGAGCATAAGGAGCCCATTTAGATGCTTTCCACAGGGAAGAGGACTTGCTCGCCTGGCTTCTGGCAGAGACGGCCCAGTGCCGTTGATCCAGATCCGAGCAGTAAAAACTGACAAACTTTCAGAGCTTCCCAGATTGGAGGTACCGACAAGAAGCTGCAGATTACGACTTCAAGCTGAGGCGCAAGCAGGTGCTCCGCTCGAGTACTCTGCCTTTCCACTCCGTTCCCTTTGCTCTGGGACATGTTGGACAGATCTGCGCGGGTATTGGCGGCATTCTGAATAGACTCGTGTAGCAGTGATGGCGGAGATCTGTTGCGAGGCACAGTGGGAGCAGAGGGAAGCCAAGCAGCTAGCGTATGCGCAGCGGGCAGCCGCCGAGCAGGATGAGGCAGTCCAAGTCAACAAAGGGCTTTAAGCCAGCCTTGCCCTTCTTCCCCTTGAGCACACTTTTGAGTGGACTCTGCTGCGACTAGTCCTACCAATGCTAACCTCCCCCTGGAGGCATGGAACAGGATGGCTGAGAAAGCTCGAGAAGAGCGGGCAATAAAGCAGAGGCCCCGTTGCCCTGCTCAATGTCGCTGGCTGATGACAAAGCACGCGCACGCAGAACGTTCCTTGCAAAGAGTTCGACAGAAGCCCCAGGGGTGTAGCAGGTCTACGAGTGCATCACACCGTGGAATCAAACAAGATGCTTTCAGCTCTGGTTCTGTTCTTGTTTCTGATCGAAGAGACGGGGTCCTTGTTTCAGTTTCATGTCGCCTTCCGCTTTTTTCTCAGCACCGTGTAATCCGTATAATGGAATGACCTGAGGTTGGTGACAGTTCATGGTCGGTGCTATCATGATTGCAGTGCACTTGCATGTTCCTGCCTCAAGTTTCCAGGGCCTCAATGCAACGGGCCGAGGGATGCTGAATGCGATCCGTCTGTTGTGGCCACTGCCTACATCTTTTGAATCTTGGCCCCTGGCCGACAATGCAAATGGGGTCATCCTGTTCGCGCTCCGGGACGTGGGGGAATGTCGGTCTCTCTGCAGCTCGAGATGGTCTCTGTCCTCAATCCATGCTCGGGGTCCCTATTCTCAAGGCGTCGAGGGCTCGCTGCTCAAGGGCGCATGCCTGCGGAATCTTGTGCAATGGGGGGTACAAATGACGAGGAAATAAAGTCTGTCCCTGGGGGCTCCCGAGCATAAGTATTGAGCAAGGTGTCCTAGTTGAGCACCGCACTGCTTTTGCAGCAGTGTGGATACATGGGTTGTTGAGCCGCAATCGCTATTGCTGCGATTCCTACGGTTCCTGCGACTGCAGTTTCACACATGGGATCAACTCTGTATGGTTTTGTACTGCCAGGCACCGCTCCAACTTCCCAGATGCAGAAGTGGTAGAAGCGCGCTGCTGAATCCCGTTCATCAATCTTGCAGATTAGCTGGATGGGCGGTCCTCGCTGAAGGAGGCATCTTCAGACGACGACGCAGCGCCCTGTTCCAAGTTCCAAGCTTTGAGGCAAATGTAGAGTGGACACAGGCAGCTTTTGATTCTCTTCTCAATAGGCCGTTGGAGCAGGGTGCAGCGGTCGCCGTGGAGAAGAGGAGGCTTCCCCTTCGCTGCGATCAATGCGCAGATGCAGACGTGCAGAACACCATCAGGTAAGTTGCGTGCTTCGCACACCCGCCTCGAGCCCGCTTAACTGTGGTGGTTCTAGTAGCATCGGATGCCGAGTGAACAACAAAGGCATCGACAGTCATGCTTTCGTGTCCGACTCGTGTCCACGCTTGTTGCCACAAAGCGGCAGCACACCAGCAGCTATGGTTAAGCCAAACAAGAACCGAGCTCGGCCCTGCAGACGGCTGAAAACCGCCTAGGCGTCGACTCCGGTGTCGGTTTTTTCTCTGTTGCCTGTTGCCCACTCGCCTATCTCTCCAGCATCTTTCAATTCAGCAGCTTGCGAATCTTTGCATTGCAAAGGAAGCGCTTGGGAGGGCTTTTGAGGGCTTCCAGGGTAGCCAGAGGGCAGCAAGATCCACGGCGGCGATTGGAAGGGTCCAAGCAAAAGCCAGCTGTTCGGCTGCAGTGGTGCAGGCGCAAGCTAGGTTCTCTTGCATTGTTTCGCATTTTTGGCTTTTGCAGGTCAGAGAGAGGAGCCACAAGCGAATGCGTGTCTGTTCGGACCTCAGTGTTGAGGTCCACTACGGCACGACCTCTGATTTTGCCTGTTAATTTCTTGTTTTCCGAATCTCGATCGCTACGGCACCTCACAAAGTGCTTAGCTTTAGGATTGGGATGCTGGAAGTACATGCTTATACGGAATCCTATCAGGTCATGACATGTAACTTACGGGGACGCCGATTTAGAGTAGCCCCCCGTCCTCCCCACCCCCACCCCCACCCCACTCCCACTCCCACCCTCCACTCCCGCCCCCACTCCCACCCCAACCCTCACTCCCCCCCCCCCACTCCCCCCCCCCCACCCCACCCCCACTCCCACCCCAACCCTCACCTCCCCCCCCCCCCACTCCCCCCACTTCCCCCCCCCACTCCCACCCCCCCACTCCCACCCCCACTCCCCCGCCCCTCCCCATGGCTTGTAACGGGTCTGTAGCATGGCCCAGAACTCCAAATCCTAAACCCCTGCAACTTTCTTACGTCTCCGATACCCAAAATAGAAACGGTTTAACTACATGACATCTGTGCGTTTACATCCCGAAGTTCACCACGAACTTGAGAGACGTAGGCTGCTTGAGTTTCTGAGGTTTTCTAAGTACCATGTGTGATGTGATGCCTCGTGTTTTCCGGCAGGGAGTGGTAGCAAGGACCAGAGTCTACCACCAACGAAGACACGCTGGAATACCTGGGCATGCATGGCCTGATCAGGCATATGTACGTGCCACGACAATACTGTTATGGTGTTTTTGTAACATCCTCGACACTGCAAGCGACCCACTGTTCGTCCTGTTGACATCTTCGCTGCGCAAGCCGAATTGTACGTTTTCCAACATCATGTTAAGCTGAGTTGCAGCTTGGTCTGCACTTTATGTGTTGCCACTCGGCTTGCGTTTTATGTTCTGTTGGTTGCAAGCACATGGTGGCATCGAGAGAGTGAAATCAGCACATCCGTGCATGAAGTCCGAGTGAGTGAGTGCGTGCGGGCGTTCGTGGGTGTGTGTGTGTGTGTGTGTGTGTGTAAAAATGCACGTGCACGTGTGCTTGTATGCGCTACTCTGAGGTCAGAGACTCCGATGCTGCCTCTGCAAGCATCCAAGCAAACCAAGCGAGCAGGGTGAGCAGCTTGGGTACATCTACTCGACTATACCTTCTCCAGTGCTCAGGCGGCACCAGCAATCGAGATTGCGGCTTCCGAGGACTATGATCATGGATACCAGTACTTACTGTTCAGCGAACCTTTGCCTTGCAGCCCCATGCGAGGGGGGGGATGTGAAACCAAAACTAAGGACGTTGTGAACCCAAAGCCCTCTACTGGCGATCGGATTGGGAGTGGGAGTGGTGGAGTGTGACGAACCCTTGAAGAGGGAAACCCTGACCCATGAAATATTAAGACTCGCTCATTTACTCGAGTTGCTCAGGTCTGCAGTTGCCCTATCCCCGTAGAATATCCGGACTTCAGAACTTGAGGACTTGGTGTTCTACCATTCTTGGAGTTTCCTTTTGGGTAGTTTGAGATTGCCGCCGCTTCCCGTGCGCGTTTCTCACCATCCTCCCTGTAGAATTCTGAGTTTCTCATTTCGCGCTCCTTACCATGCTTAAGGCCCCTCCATGCATCCCACTTCTACGGGGTGTGAGTGTTGGAGCAGGTTTTGTGACTTTGGCTGTTCTGTTTAGGGTTTCAGGGCGAGATGCATCGATGAAGCCTTTTTCGCATCAGTTGTGGGCTCCTTGAAGCCTTGAGCCAGGAGGCATTTCCAACTCCGATTCGTCCGATAATCGCCGCCACCACAAAAAGCCAAAATGCCGCGTTGCATCGCGTTGCATCGCGTTGCATCGCATTGCATCGCGTTGCATGGCGCAGGAGATCACTGCCTGCGTGAGGGAAAACCTGATGACGGAGTACTTGTTCTTTCGCGGCGCCTGGGCGCAGCACAAGCCCAGCGAGGACTCAAATGGAAGTGAAGCACCGTGGGCCAGTGGGGCAATCTGTTTTGAAAGTCCTTCAGACTCTGTGGACCACTGCAGGAGGAGGCGTTGGGCCTCCTGCGCGGCGCCTTGGCGCGGCTGGGGGAGACGCCCGAGGCCTCGGAGGCCGGCTTCTTCCTGGCGTTTGCTCATTTTTGCTCTCCCCGTTTTGTCTTGTTGTCGGTCTGTTAAGAGCCGCTCTCGGGCTCAGGCCTCCGAGCCACGGCTTGGAAGCGCCCGGGGCCACAGCCGCACCATGCCCGATGCGTCTTTTTCCGCCTTAGGGCCACAGAGCCAAAGACCCCAGTCTCGGATCCTCACATTCACGTCAGCCAGAACTGCTTGCCTCGGATCCAAAGGTGGTACAGTGGCTCTGCAAGTCATCCACGAGCTTGGATCACCAGGCGACCTTGTCGGAATGGGCTTCAAATCTCGGAGCCTTCGGACTTTCCGTGCTGTCGTTTACTTCGTTGATTTTCGCGGCATATCTTGCAGGCTGTCCCACGAACTCGCAAGGCATTGGACGCTGCGCTGTTGGAAGATGCCCTCAGCTCCGCCTCATTCGATTCTGCAGGAATTCAGCTCCAAAAATGCAGCAATGTAGCCCTCACGTTGTTGCCATGATCCGTATGGGTTTCAACCTCTCGGCATGATCAGATGAAGCATCCGAAGACCGGACACACAACTTCTGGAATCAGCACAGGACTTGCCCGTGCCTATGCCCAAGGCCTAGGTATCTGCTAACTGAGCATAGCTTTGTGATGCTGGCGCGATGGCACCATCTTCCCCTGCCCGAGCCTCAATAGATGCATGCCAAGCTCAGAACAAGCCAAATAGCGTTGAAAGGCAGACAGGCTTCGGCCTGACGTGCCATCTACGAAAAAGGCGCCGGCTTCTCTGAAGGTGGGCCAAGCACGAGATGACCTGCACGAGCCTTGCGCCCACGTGTATATGTGTGTATGACATCGAAAGCGCTGAATGAAGCATGATGCAGCACGTTACGCAGGCTGCATCAGACGGCTCTTCACGAGAGGTTAATGCGGAAAGGTCTGTGCAAAAGGCCGAGGCCTGCATTGGACTCGACTGCGCGTTCGAAAGTCCGTCTTGACGAGTGTTATGTCATCCAGATGGCTGCAGGTCGTGTGTCGCTCTTGTACCAAAGCTCTGTCTCTGTGTGCCAGGGCTGGGATCTTGATCTCAACATGCGATTTAGATTCTTAAGTTGCGCTCGGAACAGCTGAAGCCCAACTCTTCAGAGGTTTGCCCATGGTGCGAGTGTGCACCATCCTTCTCGTTGAGCGGCAACTTCAACTTGAAGGCCTGACTCCGGCTCTGATTTTGTAGCATTCTTTGTGCGCTGTACTCGTTTTTATGGGAAAAACTTGGCATGCCCTCTGCACTGTTTTCTCTGTGCCTCAGGGCGCTCTTCGTGTTCTGCATGACGGCCGTCACGGCGGTGTGCGGCAGCCCAGCCTTCTTCTCACGCATGCGCCCGAAGCTTTACCCTTGTGAGCTTTATGTGGCCTCTTGTGGGGAATCCATGGAATCCTGCTAGGGCGACGCATGCAACCTCGTTCTCTTGGGCCATAACATGGACCGGGATCAGCGCGTGGTTGTCAAGGCAAAGCTGCCATGCAATGCCCTGCTCTTGCAACGAAGGAAGAAGTAAATCTCCGAACGCTGGCCAGTGTCATCTGAGCATATCTGAGCAGTCGGCCACTTTCTCCGCCTTTCTTGCTCAAAACCCAGTTTAGGGCCAACCGGCAGCACTGCGGCGATGGCCTGGCTTCGAGCCCAACCCCCGCGCACTGCACGTGCACGGAGCAATTGGAGCACATGTGTCGGAAGCCTTTTCCTTCTGACACTCCCCTTGGCAGCGCTGCCTGGACCCGCCTGGGTGCCCGCGGTGGCCAGGCGAGCCACCGGCGAGTGGGGCCGTTCGGCCACGGCCGAAGAGCTTGAGGCGGAGGTGCCTACGCTTTATGTCTATGATCATTGCCCGTACTGCGTCCGAGCCCGGATGATTTTTGGGTTGAAAAAGACACCTTTCAAGTTGGACTTCTTGATGAATGACGACGTCGTGACCCCTACCAGAATGATTGGCAAGAAGGTTCTCCCGATAATGGAGATTGACGGCGAAGCCATGGGCGAGTCCCTGGACATTGTCTCAAAGGTCGATGCCCTGGATGACACTCCGATTCTGTCCAAGGCCGCTGGCCGCAAAGACATTAGCACATGGCTCAGCGACAACAAGGACCTCCTGCGCAAGATCACGAGGCAGCTTGCTTTGAGTAGGAACATACTCACTTGCCCAAGGCGAAGAACGATAAACCATTTTTTGCATGTCTTCTTTTTATCTCTTTCGTTGAGGCTGCCGTGAAAACCAATAATATTTAGTTCAGGTTCGGGTGTCTTGTAAGAAGACACTGTTAGGTTATCATCAGGTTACGGTTTTTTGAGACTGGTTGACCTGATCTACAAAAACTCAACTTACTTTGGTTCATTGCCAATCAGCACCCACCGACTCATACTGTTTCTTTTGTTCCCCCCTGCAAACAGACTTTTCAGGGAATCCTGGTGTCTCCGCTTTGCGTGGATGTCTCCGGTCAAGGTTCCTCAAGCCGAAGTGACTAAGGACCCCCGTCCGCTTATCCCCCCCCCCACCCCAATTTCTAGCCAACAAAGCCACCGGAAGCCAAAAGCCACGAGGCCTCGTGATGCCATGGCCTTGTACCCCGAGTTCTCCACGAAAGCCGCGCGGGCCACGTGGGTGAAAAACCACCAACTCTCTGGCATGACCTTCGAGGAAGCACTTGAGACAAGCGGGCCGCTACTGGAAGAGCGGCTTGGCCAAAGTTCTGAAAACCTCTTGCTCTTACTCTCTCCCATTTTCTCCGCCTCACTCCATTTCGTTGTATGATGTCGTGGTTGCTTGTTTTTCTACTCCGAGCGCTCTCCCTTTGAGCCGAGAGAGTTCTGAGGCTGAATGGGAAGCTGCCGGAGCTCAGCGAGATGCTCCACAGCTCTGAGTCAGTCAATGAAGGTGGCTATTCTTACGACGACATCACCTTGTTCCCCACTTTGCGGAGGCTTACCATCGTGAAGGACGTGAAGTGGCCCGAGAAGCTCCGGCAATATGTGGAGCACATAGCCGACATCTCTGACGTGCCATTGCTAGATGCGATGGCGCTGTAGAGCACATTTTTCCGCCACCCGCAGAAGCATCATGCTTGCCTCGGGAGGAACTCCCGAGCGGCATGTGAAGGAGTCGCTTGCATCAGCTCATCACCTTGGTGCGTTGGAGAGACTAGAGTGACTAGATCCTACTGTGCGACAACCAGAAGTGCACTTGGTCCAGGATCGTTTAGAGTTTCTTGAGGGGGTAAATCGTGACAACAGTTGGACAACTGGTGATACTGCGTGAGGCCGCAAGACTGGATGAGGATCCAGAAGAGGTGGCCACCATGAAGGAGGAACCAGCGCGTTGCTCGTACATGCTCAATGCGACAATTGAGCTTACTTTCGGCAGGAGATTCAGATTCAACGTCAGCTGGCGCATGACAATACCGTGCTGCTGCCCTAGATACTCATCAAGAAATACCACCCAGGCATCTCGCAACAACCTCACTTCATCGGATGCTTACTATTGTCAGCAGCACTGTTTGTAGTCATTCCATTGCCAGAATCAGCTGAGTTTGGAGGATATCCTCCTGTAGCGTGATGCCCTTATATTCATGTTAGCACCCACATGTCAGGTGTTCATCTCAACGTGCGGCAGTGAGTCTGACCCCCAAGGCCGCTGCTCTACGCCGCGGAAACTCCTTCAGAGGCTCTTACGTCGCACTGGCAGCAGTGATGTACTTTGAACGCTACGCGACCCGCCTGGGCCCGGGGCCTGCCACCACTGCAGTGGCGAGGCAAGGTTGGCACGACAAGCTCCTTGGGGCTTAGGGTTGTATGCAGGTCCAGTGCCAGCCTCTGCAAACTGTAAACTTTAAACCGTTAGCCGTTGACCCTGTAGCCTAAACCCGGTCGGGTCAGTTTGGGTCGGGTCTACTTTATACTGTAAGCTTCAAACTTGTTAAGCCTTTTTATTCTTTGTTTTTTAAAGTCTTCTTTTTAAGCTTTAATGCTTTTGAGCTTTAAACATTGTGAGTTTTAAATCTTTCAACTTTGCATTTTAAAGCTTTTAAGCTTTTAAAACCTTAAACTTTTTAACTTACAACTTGTTAAGCTTAAGACTTTTTGAAATTAAAACTTGCTAAACTTTAAGCATTGTAAACTTTAAACTGTAGGACTGTAGGGGGTGTTGTTGGTGTCCCCTGGGATGCCGGTCGGCTGGGGTTCCAAGCAAAAAAAGTACGACATAGAGGCGGGCAGGGGCGGCCGCTTTATGCTCCCCAGGGAAGACTTTGCGCTACGGAGTTGCTGCAGGTTCTGCTGGTTATGCCATTTGCAGCTGGAGGCGATCTCCACGCGGTGTCATGCTGAGAATCTCTGCTGCGTGAGTACGTGTGAGTATGAGTGTTTGCAAATTTGCATCTCCCTAGAGCAAGGCCCTGGGACCGCGGGGGATGCTAGCCGAGAAGCAGGCAGTCTTCAGTCCACTTTAGTCCAGCACTTTGTTGGTTCGGCTTCTCATGACGGTCATACATGGTGCACGATTTGGTCGGTCGTCGCCCAGGGCTTATAATTGGCACCGAGCTGCCTCCAACTCAGCCCTGGAATACGGGTTTTGGTTTTCGGGTATGAAATAGCAGTTCACCTCAGATGGCGTTCGGTAAAAAAGTAAGAGTTTCGCGGCCTTCCCATCTGTCTGCGTCTTTGTCTGTCTGGTTGCCGGCCTGCCGGTCTGTCTGTTCGCCTGCCTTTGGCAAGCTTTTGTCGCCGTCGCAGTAGCATCAGGTTGTCTGGGTCTTTCTGGCATGCATCTTCGCTAGCTTCGCCAGCTTCGCGCGCAGGCAGCCAGGTTGTGTGGGCAACTCCTGGAAGGCGGGGAGAAGCGCACAGAGGGCGAAGAGCACTTCAAGCACAGAAGAGGTACTTCCGAGTCATGGTAGCTGGTAGTCCCTGCAAGGCCTTCGCTATCTTCACGAGGCACTCCGCCGAATCGCCATAAGTGACCAGATGCGGTCTTTTACAGAGTCGACAAGCAGCTGCACAAAAGCAAAGCAGAGCAGAGCGCAGCAGAGCACTTAGCAGAGTCAGAGACTGTTTCGATCATTTCTCCATTGTACACCAGGACCTGTTCATTTTGCATGGCGACGTGAAGCCGCGCAACATATTTCTGGTTCCTACCGGGTCAGGGACGCGTTCTCAGTGGTTGGCGTGGCTTGCCCGGTGGAGCAATGCAAAAAAGACGCACCGAGGTTAGTCGCGCAGCTGGGCGACTTCGGCCTTGCACGAGAGTGCCCTCGAAAGGTCATCAGCTGAGGATAGCTGAGGGTTGATGGAACTTGAGCTTTGCCTCTGTGGCACCTGCAGGCACCCTTCCTCTGCCGCTTTACTGGCGAAGAGCCTCAGATGTCCATTGCCAGTTCGCAAATCTCAGAAACAGAGCCGAGAACACTGGACAGGGCTACAAGGCTCTCATGGTTACATGGCGCCGGAGATCCTTTCCGAACAGGTTCTCCGTCAAACAAAGAACTGGTTTGTGTTTGCTCTATGACATATTGAATTCTGGATGATGCTTACAACTATCTTCCTGTTTTTTTTTGTTCTCTTGGCTCTTTCCTTAGATCGAGTTTGATACACACTTGCGGACCTTGCTGGAGGATTATGGGAGACCGGTGGACGTGTTTGCCCTGGGAGTGATCATCTTTACGCTCCTGGCTGGATACGTGCCTCATCATGATATCAGATGTGCAGACATACTGTGTTGCCGATTTCGCATGTGCTGAAGCCAAGGAACCCTTCTATCCTCCCTCCAATGTAACCGCCCCGCTGGAGTTTGATCCACCGTCGTGGGAACCATTGAGCAAGGACTCGCTCGCATATCCACTATGTGCTGAATCATGCGTCCCACGGAAGATGAGTCATGACTTATCGGGGACTGTTTAGGAGTCGGCTGAGTTTGTGACAGACTCGCTGAGACTGGTGGCCGAGGACAGGGACGTTATTCGGTTGCGCGGATGAATGGAGAATCAACCATCGCCGCATTTTTCGTAAGGAGCGACTGAGCTCCAATGCGGCGCAGAACCACAAGTGGCTGCAGATGGACGAGAGCTTTGCTGAAATCCCCTCGCTAAAGTCTCAGCCCTCGAGAAGACAAGACGCCGATTTTAGAGACGGGTTTTCTGCTGAGGCAGCCTGGACACGTGCAGCTCACGTTTCTCCGGCCAGGAGATGTGCAGCAGGCCGGTGCATCCCGCAGGTGATCGGGTTTGGGTGTTACTGTTAATTGTTTCGCTTAGTTTGCAGTTTGTGGCGCACACTTCCCTTTCCCTTTGGTGGGGAGTGGTCTGGTTGGATATTATTGACCACCTCGTCTGTATTTTCATCTGCGAACTTGCGCAGTTTTCCTTGTGCTGGCTGGTAAAAATCCCGGGAGCTCTTCAAGAGATCCATGAGGCTGAATGTTTCTTAACTCGGGAAAGAGGCTGGCCTTTTGATAGAAAATGCGTAATCCGACAGTCATACCGCGATAGCTTCGAGAATGCCCCCAGCACGCACACAATCTCCCATGCTTTCGATTCTTTCGATTCTTTCCATTCTTTCCATTCTTTTCAATTCTTTCCGTTCTTTGCTTTCTAGCTCCAAGGGCCGCCTCGAGGTGGCCCGTGCAAGCTGTAGCCGACAAATTTCTTTGCTCCGTGCTTCGCTTTGCTCGGAGCCCGCACGCTTGGGCCTCGCAAAGGTGCACGGCAAGCTGAGAACGGCAATACACACGCAGACGAGCATCGTGAGCGTACTTTACTTTTAGTAAAAGGTTCCACTTGGTTCCACTTCTAATGTTAAATGATTAGGGAAGGAAGGAAGGAAGGAGCATGAAGGAGCATGAAGGAGCATGAAGGAGTTTTTTGAATTCTCCTTTTCGGCTCCTTAGTTCCTCTTGGGTTCCTTTGCGACTCCCATGTGACTCCTTTTTCACTTGCTCCCCCTTTATTTTTCATTCTGACATACTGTGACACGGCTCGTTCTCACACTGTTACATCTGGGATCGGGGCGTCAAAGGGTCTTCCCAAGTCTTTCAAGGAGCCGAAAGCCCCAGAGATGTTGAAAGACCAAGACCCTCCCAGGATGTTGGGTTCCGTTTCGCTTACGTGTCGGCTTCGTGCAAATTTGTCCGTTTTTTTTTCTCATTCTTTTCGGTTCCTTTTGAATTTCTTTCGGCTTTTTGTCTTGTCTCGGCTCCTTCTTCGGTGTCAATTCCCTTCCGGGTCCTTTCTCCTTTTGGTACCGTTTCGGCTCCATTTCGGTTCCGTGTTGGTCTCTTTTCGGATCCGTTTCGGTTCCTCTTCGGTGCATTGCCCAAGCTACTTTTTGAACCATAGCCTGTCGGCTTATCATGACCTATCATGACAGTACAGCGGAAGTAGCTTGGTGAGTTGCTTCCGCCTCGTCGTGAAAGGTTCCATGTCGCTTCGTGATTCATTTCCTTTGTTTTTTCGCGTCAGCGCATTTTCTCTTAGCTTCCCACCGTTCCTGGCTTGCTTCTTTACTTCCTCAGGCAAATAGGTTTGTACATGTTTGAGGGTCGAAATTAGCAGTGTTGGTCATGTGGCCGCCGGCTGCAGTTCTCTTTTACACAAAACTGACAAAGCCAATACAGAGATGCGAGAAGTGTCTGAGGCCCTGGCCGAAACGAAGCCAACACATGAGCTGCCTTGACCGCATGCGGAAAAGACCCTCGAGAGTTGACTGCACTCCACGGTTGTGAGGCTACGAAGAGAGAGACAGAGAGGCTACCGCACATACTGCAGGGACAGAGCGAGAAGGAGAGAGAGAGAGAGAGAGAGAGAGACTTGGCCTTCGGGGGGGCTGCAAAGCGCTGAGAAGAAGAAGAAGAAGAAGAAGAAGAAGAAGAAGAAGAAGAAGAAGAAGAAGAAGAGGAGAATTGATTTTGTTGCTGAGCTTGGCTTCTCTCTGCTTGACGCGGCCTCCCTCGACTGCTTGCGTGGGCTCCAGTTTTCTGACGTGCGCTGCGTAAGCCAAGCGCTGGATGCTGCCCTGGATGCAGCCCGAAAAGGCCTGACTCCTTCCTGATTGCTCTGTTGGCTCCGAGTGGTTTTCCTCTATAGTTCATGCTAGCTCAGGCGCATCATGAGTTGTGGTGATCACGATGCAGCCCCTATCGAATGGGTCACGGACTAAGTCAGATCTGGTCACTGACTGAGTCAGTTCTGGTATGACCTGCTGTGACGTAGCTACCTGAGCTGAGGCGCCGCCAGCATGGTTCGAGTTAGACGAAGGTGCGAATCGGTGCGAATGAAATGTGCTCTCTTCATTGCATTGCTGCATTGCTTCGTCTCTAATTGCTAGGTCTTGTATTGTTGTAGTGGACCTAGGGTTGAACCCAAAGCTTCCAAAGCGTCCAGACAAGCTGAAACCTTTCGACTTTGTCGCGGTCTGCAGAATCTTGAGGAAGGTATAGCTATGTGCCGAGTGGGATGGTTGAATGCCTTTGGAGCGGTTCCGAGTAGCAAGGATGTTGCAGTATTTCATACGGGTCGTGTTCGGTGACTGGGGTTCGTGATTTCTGTTATCAACTTGTTGTGGTTTGAGTGTGGCTGTCCGACCGTACATTGAGCTGCATCCCATGCGCGAACCGTCCCAAAAACACCGCTTTTCAGGGAAAACAGCGGCTGACAGTTACTCCTACCACCCAGCGAGTGATGTTCATCAACAGTGTTCGAGTCAACCATGTCCAGCTCTAGCAGGTGCACCAAGTACGTCTAGACGCGCCCGGTGTACTTCCTCTGAACCATCGTTTTCAACACTCAAGGCCGGCGAAGGTTGAACTTCGAGCTTGGCAATGCTCTGGGCATACCCCCTTGAGGCTACCAATGGTCCCCGAGGAGTGACGACTTCGCCGTGCTCTTCTGTTCCTCCTCAGCTCCATGGCAGAGACGAGATGCCCTTGGAGCTGCTGAGCTGCCCAAGCAGCCGAGGTGCTGGAGCGCGATGAGCGCGAAGGGCTTGAATGTGCGAAGCTTGGGTGCTGCAATGCCCCCGCAATGTATCGATTTGCAGAAGCCTGAAGCTAAACCCTAAGCTGTAGGCTGTAGAACATGCCTAAGCCCAAAGCCATAGTGCACGCAGTGCACTTAGTGCGCTCCATCTCTGAAATTTGGAAACTGAAGTCTTGCCAAGGCTGGAAAGCGGACCCTTCGGACCGCAAAGTGGGTAACAAGCCCTGCCAGCCCTTCGTGTCCTCTCTTGTTTCCTTTGAGCAACCCATTGCCAAGCTGGCCTTGCATGCAAGAGCAGATGAAGAGCAACATGTCTGGGGCGAATCACCCACAGTCTGAGCTGGTTTCGGACGAGAAAGAGCCGCAGCCCGTGGGAAACACATCGGAAGATCTCCTGGCAAGATTGCAGCAGGTGCGGTTCTCGCTTCTCGCGTTGAGCATAGCCTCGCACTCGTGCTGCGTGAACTTTTGTCCGTTTCGCAAGGCTGAGCAGAGTCTAGCTGAGAAGGACCAGCGAATCGAAGCTCTCGAGGCTTTCGGGCATTGTGATGAATCCAGTGCAGGTTCCCATACTCTAAATACCCTACAAAAACCTTAAGCGCGTGTCGGGACGTGGGAGGCGTGCACGACACAGCTGGCAGAGCGGCTCGCTTTGGCCGAGGGCCTCAGGAAGACCAAGGCCGGGCAATGCCACTTCGCGGTGGATTTCATTTTTACTCCACTTCGTTGGTGCGTGTAGCAGAGTCTTGCTTGGGGTACTGCTTGCGTAGACCACAACTATCTCCGCTCAGAGGACCCGTTCAAGGATCCTAGCACGCCAACCTCCACCAGGTGTGGACGCTCATGCTCGAAAAAAGCCTGGTGTGTACCAAGCAGCCCAGTAGCAGCATGAGATAACATGAGTAGAACATGAGTCTGCGCAAGGTCCACATCCGATTCGACAGCCTGGTCCCGGGATCTGTCAGCCCTGCGAAGGTGCCCATGGGCCCATGGCTTCAAAAGCTCAATGCCAAAGTTCTGCAGCTCACTGCACCTCCCATCTTCAATGCTGTTGGCCGGCAGGAACTGCACGCAGGAGAGCCTTGGAAGTGACGGGAGCTCGGCCACGTATGTGGCATCCTTAGCCTGATAACTGCTACTCCAGTGTACTCCAAAAAAGTGCGTGGTATTTTGCATGGCGTTGCATGGCGTTGCATGGTATTGCATGGTGCATGTCCACTTGATGGTCACAGGCGCCGCAGACTCCACCTGTCACTGTAGCAGCAGCGAAATCAACGAGAAAATCTCCAAAGTCCAGCGATCGTCCTGGTATCCGTACAGGAGGCATGAAGGCGGGACTTTTTCTGCCGGCAACTCTGTGGCTGACTCTCATCCCTGGTGTTCGCTGGCAGGTGCCTGCTGGCGAATATGCAACGGAAGCGGACGTAGATTCAGTGTGCCGCAGGCCAACCCTTACTCATGTATTGGACGGAGCTGAAGTGGCCAGTACGCTCTCATCATGTTCTGAGTTTCCATCCAGCAGTTGTGATTTCCCCACTTGCAGGTGTGAGCAGCTTCTAAAATCTGTTACCGCAGCTGTGGAAATCAATGAGCGGCTGGCGATCAGACGCAAGCAGCAGAAGTGCTCCCAATCGATGCGCTTTTCGAAAGGCAGTAAACAAAGCACTGCCTCCGTGTAGTCCTGCGTTAGTCCTGCGTTGCAGAATGCATTGCCTGACTCTGATCTCTGGTGCACGAGATGCTGTCCAGTATTGTTACAGCGCAAGAAACCCCACCACACAGAAATTTCAAGAGACTTTCAGAGTCTTGCTGAGCTTGTCTTTCAGCTAATGCGATTACAGCCTGCACGGCTGCATCCTCTTCGGGGATGTTCCGTTGCAGTCGGTTCATTTCACCCTGGATTGGCCAATTTTGGCCTCATCTGGGAACTGTCACGACTTTCTGGGGTCCGTTGGTAGTTCTAATTCGCAGCTGTCTCTTCTCAGATTGCAGTTTGGCATGCTGAGGAAAGTCGGGCTGTTACAATATCCCATGTAATATGTTTTTCCCATTGTGCTCAGTGAAGCAAGCATTCACTGCTGCAGATGATTGACATTATGTTACCTCCCCAAGGAGCGTCTGTAGGGTGTTTCGGTGGCCAACAGCTTATTTGGCACCCATCTTTGTTGTGTGCGGAATGGGCAGCAGAGTCTGGAGAGATGTCTGCTGCTATGCTAGCTGCTAGGCCGCAGTTCGCAGCATTGAAAGAGAGTTTATGCTTGTCGGACGACGAACTGGAGATTCCTTTTTCTACGTGAGCATTTGCACTGGAAATTTGGCACCTTGCTTTTGACCCTCTGACCTTCCGACAGCATAAGAAAGTCCATCCAGTACTCGATGTCCAGTTGCACAGCATATTGGTATCCTTTTGGGGACACCAACGAACCTCGAACATTGATTTGCCTTGTAGATAGAGATGCAGTCCCCTCTTGCATGTCACTGCCTGTGACAGTTCAAAACTTGTCCGACAGCACTGCCTTGCACCCAATGGGCACGCATGCTCGCATTTGCTTTCTTTCGCCGCTCGCAAGCCCTTATTGTTTGCGCAATTCTCACGTTGTATCTCATAGCTCAGCCTGGGAGGCACAGCTTCCTAGTGACTTCTTGCCCGTGGTTGCGCTCGTCGGGAGTCCAGTTGGCCTTGTCTCTGGTGTGGGTCTCGGGTTCAGCTTGCCACGATGACTTGTTTTGTGAGTCGAGTTTTCGCTCTTTCAGCAAACTCTTGCAGATACAGAAATCAAGAGATCCTCCTTTTATCCGTAGGTCGGACGACGGCCCTTTGCAATTCACTTGTAGATCGCCTCAGCCAGGAGCTGCATAGTAGTTGGCGCTCTCTCTTGTGTTGCTTTTGCATGCCTTGAAGGAGCTGGGATATGCCATCCTGAGACCATCGGAGGCAGATCGGAGGAGAGATAGATAGTCGATTCGAACGCCACTTCTGATTCATCGGGTTCTAACAAGACGTGGACTGCACGCGGAGTGGAGGTGGTCGGTGAATGCATCGCGCTGGCAGAGAAGCCTCCTCAGGTCCGCTACACCTTGTAGTCCCGGCGTTTCACATCTGAGTTGCAGTAGGCGCTTTTCCCTGTCTTGTGAGACTCGTACCGCAAGGAGCCGGACTGGCCCATCCTTGCACGAATGCGAGAGCTTGGGCGAGAGGCTACATCGCAGAGGCTGGCATCTTGACATTAACCCGCTGTCCACGTCACATTGAAACACAACTCAAAGCTGCCAGTTGTCGAGGTCCATATCGGCAGGGCTGCAGGCTGAAATGCTCTTCCGAAAGATCGAGGCAAATGCTTGTCTCCTCTCATGTCCTGATTACCCCTTCGCTTTCTGGAACTTTCCGTGGTGCGCGCCAGCTGCTCTCGGCCCCGGCACCGAAGCCCGCCCCAGCCTCTGAGCAAGTCTTCGGAATGAAGCTGAATAAGCACAAGCTCCGTGGCTCGCATCCGTGCCCCATAAGACGCCATTAGGAGCTTATATATGACACCTGCAGAAGTCTAAGGTGGAGGAGGAGGACCCCAAGAAGCCGGGCAGCCAACATCTCCTCACATCTCCCCACTTTGATTCGAAAAAAAACAGACGCTCAGGAAGCCGAAGGCAAAGGACAAGAAGGAGGAGCCGCCAGAGCCAGTCAGGTGCAGCCCCCCCCCCCCCCCCCCCCCCCCCCCCCCCCCCCCCCCCCCCCCCCCCCCCCCCCCCCCCCCCCCCTCCCTTCCCCCGTGTGCAGCTTAAATAGGGTCTATTTGGAAGCTGAGACTCGTGTTTTAAAGAGGAAATAAGGCCCCAAAACGTATACTTATTTACAAGAGACAACTTCCAAATAGACCCTATTATCGTTTCTGGGGGGTCTGGGGCAAGGAATTAAATAATTTAAATAATTTAAATAATTTAAATAATTTAAATAATTTAAATAATTTAAATCCGAAAAGGGGGGGGGGGGAGGCCCCACCGGGCCCCCTCCCCCTCCCAGAATTAAATAATTTAAATAATTTAAATCCTGAACACCCCTTTCGGATTTAAATTATTTAAATTATTTAATTCTGGGAGGGGGAGGGGGCCCGGTGGGGCCTGCCCCCCCCCCTTTTCGGATTTAAATTATTTAAATTATTTACATTACTTAAATTATTTAAATTATTAAATTATTTAATTCCCCCCCACCGGAATAAATAAAATAATTTAAATAATTTAAATAATTTAAATAATTTAAATAATTTAAATAATTTAAATAATTTAAATAATTTAAATAATTTAAATCCGAAAAGGGGGGGGGGCAGGCCCCACCGGGCCCCCTCCCCCTCCCAGAATTAAATAATTTAAATAATTTAAATCCTGAACACCCCTTTCGGATTTAAATTATTTAAATTATTTAATTCTGGGAGGGGGAGGGGGCATGGTGGGGCCTGGCCCCCCCCCCTTTTCGGATTTCAATTATTTAAATTATTTAAATTATTTAAATTATTTTAATTATTTAAATTATTTAAATTATTTAAATTATTTAAATTATTTAAATTATTTAAATTATTTAAATTATTTAATTCCGGGGGGGAATTAAATAATTTAAATAATTTAAATCCGAACCCCCCCTTTCAGATTTAAATTATTTAAATTATTTAATTCCCCCCCCTGGAATTAAATAATTTAAATAATTTAAATAATTTAAATACTTTAAATAATGTAAATAATTTAAATAATTTAAATAATTTAAATAATTTAAATAATTTAAATCCGAAAAGGGGGGGGGCCAGGCCCCACCGGGCCCCCTCCCCCTCCCAGAATTATATAATTTAAATACTTTAAATCCTGAACACCCCTTTCGGATTTAAATTATTTAAATTATTTAAATTATTTAATTCTGGGAGGGGGAGGGGGCCTGGTGGGGCCTGGCCCCCCCCCCCCTTTTCGGATTTAAAATATTTAAATTATTTAAATTATTTAAATTATTTAAACTATTTAATTCCGGGGGGGGTAATTAAATAATTTAAACAATTTAAATCCGAACCCCCCCTTTCAGATTTAAATTATTTAAATTATTTAATTCACCCCCTGGAATTAAATAATTTAAATAATTTAAATAATTTAAATAATTTAAATAATTTAAATAATTTAAATAATTTAAATCCGAAAAGGGGGGGGGCCAGGCCCCACCGGGCCCCCTCCCCCTCCCAGAATTAAATAATTTAAATAATTTAAATCCTGAACACCCCTTTCGGATTTAAATTATTAAATTATTTAATTCTGGGAGGGGGCCTGGTGGGGCCTGCCCCCCCTCCCCTTTTCGGATTTAAATTATTTAAATTATTTAAATTATTTAAATTATTTAAATTATTTAAATTATTTAAACTATTTAATTCCGGGGGGGGTAATTAAATAATTTAAATAATTTAAATCCGAACCCCCCTTTTCAGATTTAAATTATTTACATTATTTAATTCCCCCCCTGGAATTAAATAATTTAAATAATTTAAATAATTTAAATAGTTTAAATAATTTAAATCCGAAAAGGGGGGGGGGGCAGGCCCCACCGGGCCCCCTCCCCCTCCCAGAATTAAATAATTTAAATAATTTAAATCCGAAAGGGGTGTTCAGGATTTAAATTATTTAAATTATTTAATTCTGGGAGGGGGAGGGGGCCCGGTGGGGCCTGGCCCCCCCCTTTTCGGATTTAAATTATTTAAAATAAATAATTTAAATAATTTAAATAATTTAAAAATTTAAATAATTTAAATTCCGAAAAAGGGGGGGGGCCAGGCCCCACCGGGCCCCCTCCCCCTCCCAGAATTAAATAATTTAAATAATTTAAATCCTGAACACCCCTTTCGGATTTAAATTATTTAACATTATTTAATTCTGGGAGGGGGAGGGGGCCGGGTGGGGCCTGCCCCCCCCCCCCCTTTTCGGTTCCCCCCTGGAATTAAATAATTTAAATAATTTGAATCATTTAAAAAAATTAACATAATTTAAATCCGAAAAGGGGGGGGGGAGCAGCAGGACCAGGCCCCCCCCCCCTCCCAGAATTAAATAATTTAAACTATCGCGGCTCGATTTGGCCAAATTTTGCCGGGCAGCCTGCGGGCAAAATTTGGCCAAATCGGGCTGCTCTTCGTATGCCATGAGAAATGCGCGGCTCGATTTGGCCAAATTTTGCCCGCAGACTGCCCGGCAAAATTTGGCCAAATCGAGCCGCGATAGTTTAAATAATTTCGGGCCTCCAGAAAGGCGCGGCTCGATTTGGCCAGATTTTGCCGGGCAGTCTGCGGGCAAAATTTGGCCAAATCGGGCTGCTCGTCGAACGTGATGAGAAATGCGCGGCTCGATTTGGCCAAATTTTGCCGGGCAGCCTCCGGGCAAAATTTGGCCAAATCGAGCCGCGCCTTTCTGAAGGCCCGAAATTGTTTAAACTTTCGCGGCTCGATTTGGCCAAATTTTGCCGGGCAGCTTCCGGGCAAAATTTGGCCAAATCGGGCTGCCCTTCGTATGCGATGAGAAATGCGTGGCTCGATTTGGCCAAATTTTGCCGGGCAGCCTCCGGGCAAAATTTGGCCAAATCGAGCCGCGATAGTTTAAATAATTTCGGGCCTCCAGAAAGGCGCGGCTGGATTTGGCCAGATTTTGCCGGGCAGCCTCCGGGCAAAAT